AAATGATTTGATAATATCTGCCTTGGAACTAACCTAGAGTTCTTTTTATGTTACCCTCAATTACGTTACAATACACTTATGTCTCCCAGTATGGAAGTAAAGTTGACCTTATTACTAATTTTTACTTCTTATTTGTTGTACCTTAAAATATATTTAAGAGCAACTTTGGCTGAAACCCTACCGCTCACTGGTTCATAACATTACACATCGTATAATTTTTTGCTAAACATTTAAATAATTTAAAATGTTTTACTTTTAAAACAACAAAAGAACTCTGTGAAGGATATATTGCTAATTTAAAGCCATTTATAACGTCAATGTGCATCCCTTTAATTAATTGCAGCCGCAAGTTTCACTTAGTGAAGTAACAATAAGAGAAAAGGAAACAGATAAAGCTCGGAAAGTAGATTAAAACGAGCAGTAGGTAGATATTACAATAATACTCTCTTTATCTAAAATACTAAAACATACTCTTTTCGCAAAAGCTCAGTTAGTTTTTGATATATTTAATGAAGAACATGATTTAAAAGAACTTTTCCAACTTAAAGGTTACTTTGCATTCCCACTTTACATATAGGGATAGTAGCCTAAAAGGCAAGCAAAATGAGAAATTAGAATATTTATTTTTAATTGTAATTTCAACAAATCACTAAATAAAATCTGTACCATTTTATATCGTTAGCTTAATGAAAGTGAACCAGGTAACTCTACTTGAATCCAATTATTTTACTTGTTCGTACATAAGATAAGAAACAATAGTTAGCATCTGAATATATTATTATTTTTATACTTATTCTATTGATCAATATGATAGCAATGAAAGACCATACAAACATTGTAAAAGAACTTTTTTATTCTATTACATTTTCAAAAACATTTTCATTCTAAATTGAATAATAATCATTTTTATTCAAGATGACGAGGTTGTTTCATATTCAATCCCTAAAGAGTGGATCAGTAGTGAAGCTTTCATACAAACTACCCTCCACAATCTCATAAAGAGCACAGGCTCTATAATTATATATTTTTTTAATAGTAATAAGTAATAAAGTGAAGTAGTTTGTTTTTATTCTATCCATTCAATTTTCATACAACTTTATCCTGATGTGTGTTACTTCTCTTTCTCTCTCTCTCTCTTTCTTAAGCCAGATTGTCTCGGGGTTGTGATTGACAATTTTTTGAAAGAAAAACCGAACTAATGTAGCTTCACGTGATGTACTAACTTGGGGAAATAATTCATAATTAGTTACCGAATATAACTCGTGTAGTGCACTTTGAGTGCATGCAATTTTATTTAAAAGTAACTTCCTACGTGAATCACTTAAACAGATAATTGCACAACCATACATATTGCTTTGTTCCGATGTTTCCTTTTGATATGAAAATGTTGTTTGTTAGCCCAAGTCTAACGTCTTGCAGCTTCCGGCGCTTGCTTGCGCGTCAGAACAACTTCCTGTCATTTTCCAGTTCTATGAATTTTTCGCGTTATTACTTATTTTTATTTACTGAAGGAAAAATATCTCTCTTATCTTCTTTTTAAAATTATTAATCTTGAAAATGATTTAAATTCGATACTACCTATGTATATGTATAGTAATTTTAAAATATAAGTACAATTTATTTAATTTTTGTAATAATAAAAAAGTCCTTTTAGTCACAAGTAATAGGTAAAATATTTTGTGATGGTGGCTTTACGGTAGGAAAAAAATATTGTGATAGAAAAGAAAAAATAATTGAGGAAAATTGAAGAAAGTGAGATCATCAACAAGTGAGAATAATTAATAACTATGGACTTTATTACGCAGCAAGCAATATCTACTAAGTTAAGGATAAATAATTTGTGAATAATGTTATAGTTATAGTACATAATATAATAGATATTATTTATATATAAGAACTATAAAACTTAGAACTCGGATATCGCATATTAAGTGTTTTTTCTAAATATATTATTTTAAGTTGTAAGATATATGTAGGTAAACGTATACCAATCTAAGTGCATACTTAGAAAATATCAATGGAATTGATTAATAATGTGTTTTAAAATAACTCTTTCACTGAAATTGATCTATCATTTCCTCCAGGAGACGGAATTTCTAAAAAATTAATTATAATTTTAAGAAATTCATTGTCAACTGTAATACCGATGTGCCCGCGGTTGTTGAGGGATTATGAACACACTTCATGAAAATATTGTATCGAAAATATCCTTATTGGAAAAGTAGACTAGTTAGTAAATATAACTAGTTTGATTTTCTAAATTTATACACATAGACCTGCATGTATGTCATAGAGAAGTTACATGCTTTTTATTTTTTTTAAAGCTTATAAAAAAATAATAATTAATAGAGAACTAAAATAATGAATAGAAAACTAAGAATACAAAAGTATAGTATGATTGCGATTAGCTCACAGCCTCAACGGATATAATTAATGAATAAAAAATTAATGCAACTTCTCTATAGAGAAGAAGAAGAAGAATAGAAGAGCTGTGAGCCAATCACTATTATATTATACTTTAGTATTTTCTATAATCGGTCCACCATGTGTCATAAAAAATAGTCAAACGTCAATTAAATAACATACAAATTAGGGTTTATTATGTCAAACTTAGACTTAGTTCACACGGAATTGTACTGCAATTTTTCCAATAGTTATACCTTTCATCGAATAAATAATGGCTCATATCTCATGAATGTCTCATAAATATCTCATAAATGTTACAAATCTAATAGTTTGGATGGATGGATGTTTGTTAATAATGCCAGAACGGCTTAACGGATCTGGGTGTTTGGCACAGAGATAGATTATAGTCTGGAATTAGCAAATAGGTTACTTTTTATACCGGAAATATGGTTACCGTGGGATATCCATACTAACCGTTAAAAGTTATTGTACATAAAGCACATTGTACTGCAAATCATCAAATCGTTAAGGCGCACTTTGATAAACTTTGATTAACTTGAATTTAATTAGTTATTATGATTTCTGATATTAAAACCACATTTTTATCGCAATCAAAATATCCTACAGCACGCGGTGGTAACGTAGGTTTTTGTTAGTGAAAAATTTTCAGATTTGACTCTGTTATTTTAGAAATTACCCCCTACATCCAAACTTACAAAATTAAAAAACAAAACAAACAAAACTTAAAAAGGCCTACAGAAAAGTCCGCAAAATCAACCATAAGTCTATCTTCTAAGAAACACTCCTAACAATTATTTATATTTAAAACGTACCTGGGGACGCACGCAAGCGAAGTTAGGGTAAATCGGTTGTGTGTAATATTTACTTTTTGATAGACTGACAGACGGAAGAATAATTAAAGTGTTCGAGTAGACCCTTTTTGTTTTAAAATCGAGTAAGGAGTACGATAAAATTTATATTTATTTAATTGACGTTTGTATAATCACACAACGAAATAATTTGGCAATTCAGAAATGGCACTGAAAAAACTGACTGCCGCAATTTTTATGTTTTATATTATGTTTGTGCATTTTCATGTTAGTATACTTCAAATAGCTTACTAACCATGTTCACATCAAGTCTGTCATGCATAACGCAATTAGGTGAACACTTATTCAGTTCAAGCATTCTATAAACCCTTCTAACTAATATGAAAATCATCTTTGCAAAAAACGTAAATAAATATAAATATGTTGGTACATTAATACACAGCACCATCTAGTTCCATGGTAAGCTACGAGCCTTGTGTTTTGGATACCAGATAGTTGATACACTACACATATGTAAACTTTAAATACATACATATTATAAATATAAACACCCATGACTGAAGTACAAATATTCGTGCTCGACACACAAATGAATGCCCCCAGCGGGACTCGAACCCGCGACCGCTGGCACAGCAAGTAGGGTCACTACAAACTGAGCCAAACGTGTCGTAAACATGTATTAGATTTCCCCTTTTTTTTAAATAGACAACAATATATTGTTATAGTTTATTGCAAAGTTGTTAATGTCATTATGTCTCGTTTTGTTGCATAAATGTTGAAAAGCATAAAAAATACATATTCGATATTCATACTGAAATATGACACTTGCAATTTGTGATTGAAATAGATAACTAAATGTATCTTTTATATTAAAAATCTGGAATTAAGATTCAGCTATATAAAATAGACAGGCATGTTTGACGCTAAACTTGGCTTTTTAATATGCCAAAGGCAAGATCAGCGTCAGACATGTGCAAAGTTACTTACTTTCCCAAAAAAATGAGTAAATATGAAAAACCTCTCTGTTAAGAAAGTTGTTCGGACGCACATTACTAGAAAGAAAAGAAATCGCTTGAACGAATTTGAATAAAACCTACACTTTTAAAGCTTATAGTTCAAAATCACTTCTAACTGACGTTCAAATTTATGTGATGAATTTCAATGAATAGATTTAAACATACAATACCAGTGATCGCCATTTATAACTTGTATGTCATCAAAAACAATACAGTGATTGGTTTGGATATTTTATTGTTTACCTAGCCATAGGCAGAAGCATTATTAAAATTAATACATAAAGTATAAAATTAAGTACATACACAGATCACATAATACTATACTAGGTACATACATTTTTTTAATGTTAGGAAATGCCTTTACGCATACCACCTGTAGGCATAGAGGTGGTTATGTGGGACTCACCGGGTCGAAAAGCCAGTACTACCCACTAAAACCCAACAAAACCTTCCCGCACACATTTAGTCGTATAAATGACAACCCTGTTTCCATGCAACGTATTATTAGTATTATATTTTTACTCATAAACGAAAAACTTAATCAGGGGTTCGAAATAATACGTTTTTCAAGTGGCAAGTAAAACACAAAAGTTTCGACGTTGCCCTCGTTTTCGTATAGTGAACAAAAACACAAGTCTATAATAAGCATGTGCTTACGTCGCATTAATAAAATGTACTTTATCGTGTTTATTGCTAAGAATTTTCACGAATAGTGAAAAATGAGAATGATAACTCTGTTTTGTTCCAGAGCAACTATACGAAGTTTCTAAAGAATCTACATACCGAGCAAATTGCGAAGCTCCATGCTAAAAATCAACATGAATGTGACTTGTTGGAAGACCTTCGTACTTATACTATTAAGCGTTCGGCCATAGAAAAATCTTATTCTGAGGTAAGAATATTCTATAAACAAACAATTTTAAACTATCCTAAAAGTTTTTGTCGATGAATGCTTAAAGCTGTTATTTTATATTTCTCTATAAGTATCGAATAACGCGGTTTTATTTCTAAAATTAATTATTTTATTTCCATAGCTGACACAATAACAACCTAAAAGTTATACTTCTTTTGGCGCGTTAGGGAAAAATTTATAAGGGTGAATTTTTACGATGCGCGTGCATAGCGATATAACTAGACTACAGTGTGAAGTTAGACCTCAAATCTATCTCCCTTTCATTTATTGTAAAGTGATGTTTATATTCAAAATATGTACTTATTCCGGTATTTCTATATACACAACACAAGTTTTATATCGATAAAAATATTTTTTTTTTTATTATTATTACACACGTTGGTGATTGATATCAAATAACTGTAAATATCTCAAAAAACTTGAAAAAATTTAATACAAGTATTTACTATTTACTGTTTCCATATCTTATGTATATAAAACAAAGTCGAGTCGGACAAATAAATAAATAACTTCAAAAAATGATTATTAAAAATGCGTATCTAGAGAAATATATGAAAATTTTGAATACCTACTCTTTAAGCAATTAAAAAAATACTTTTTACTAAACCATTTTATCAATTGTGTTTATTTTAGTTTATTATTATATCGTCATTTCTACAAATATACTATTGGCACGCAGTTTAAATTTTTTGAAGCTATTTTTTTTATGCCAAAGAAGTATAACTTCTTACGTACTAAAGTACACACACACACACACACACACTTTACAATAAATATATACATACATACCTTTGTATCTATAATTTTTATAATATATATTTAATTTATAAATAACTCAACTCGACAGTTCGATTATATATTGATCACTGATGGATGAGGTAACTAAGAATCAGGTAGAAATATGTTTCAAATTTTAACAAAAAGTAATAATATAAAAGGATTGCTAATTTAAATGCAAAAAATATGAGATGGTATATAATTAAAATTGTTGTTTTTATCTGTTTCTGTTTAAAAAAATAAACAAAAAGAATTATAAAACATGTCTTAAGAATAATTAATTGATATAATAATAGCTGTGTTTTGCTTTTAATATTCTCTTTTATATCTAAATAGAAGCATAATTTCGTTTTGATATATTATTCAATAGATACACCGGTAATTGCATTCAACTGGTGCAGTAGACAGTAGACACGTGTTACGTGCATGGTACGTACTTACCGCTCAATACTATTATAAATAAAAAGTGGATATTTGTCCCCAGGCACTGCTAAAAATTTCTTCAGCATATCTAAATAAGAAAATACCAAACATACCCGACATAAAAGTGGATGGCGCCGAGGAGAAATGGTTAGTATCCATTTCTATATTTATAAAAGTGACGGATTATTTGTTCCTCTAGAGAGATTACGTTAACATAATCTCGTTACAACAGGCAAAATGCTTGAGCTGTATGAAATAATTTTATTTTGCAATGCATTAATTGAAGTTTATACACTACGTATAACAGTAATAAAAAATTTAAGCTTGTTGCTTTGCTTATATAAAAAAGCTCATGCGAAAGACTCTACATACATATGTAAAGTGTTATTTGAGTAAAAAAATCTTTCTTTTTTTTTAAATTACAATATATATATATAAACTATTACATGTATTTATATTATTTTTGTACTAAATATTTTGTATTGATTTGATTATCAAGGGATCCACATGGTAATGTTAAATGTTTTATTAAAATTCTATTCTTATTTAAAAAAAACGATAATGTTCTCCTGACCGATTCCGGCCACGGCGGCCAATCTCACTGAGACGAGCCAACTGTGCAGGAGATGTCACAAGTGTACGCGCAGACACAAGTGCACTCTCTATTCCTGTCACTCTCATGCTCTGGTGGGACGAACACTCGACACGACCGGTGAGAGTTAAGGCGCAGGACTGACGGCTTTACGTGCTCTCCGAGGGACGGGGGTGAAACACCGCAACTGCCCAACTCCGGGCTTTTACTGAGGCTTATTATACAGAAAGACTCAATAACTAAACTTGGCCCGACTCGGGACTCGAATCCAGGACCTCCGGGTGTGCAACCGTACAGGGACTAATGTATTTAATATATTGTATTAAAAAAAACACGTACTTTAATTGAATAATTTGATTATTAATAAATCGTGTCAAGATCAGATGTTCTTTCAACTCGAGAAACAAAATAGTTTCACTTGGAAAAGAAATTATGAAAACTTTAAATGTACGAAAATTACAGCATCAATTATAATGGTGATTGAGATTAGTATTACGAAATAGGTCGACAACATTTAGTTCAACCTTTATTATGAAAAAGGGAACAAATGCGGGGTAGTTAATGAAATTCGTATACATAGTCTACTTAATGGTTTCAATTGTAGATTATTTAGTTAATAATAAATTAATAATTGTTCTATTACTACTTAATACTCGCATTATTATTATACATTTTCCCGTGTATAGAAAATGCTCATACGATAAGAATATCAGTCTACGGGTACATGTGTATTCTATCAATATTGCAATAGTAGAATTTCAGTTAGCCACTCTCTAAACTCTTAAAAGTCTTCTTCTATTAAACACATTATCCTACATAAGTAATTCAAATATTTAACGGCAGTTGCTAATATAAAGTTGTAAATATCCGAGTATTTCACTACAAAGTATTTCTGTTCTCCCTACTAAGAATTTACGTCAAAAGGCTTTCAAGTGCCATCCAAACTTTATTATACGAAAGATAAGGTGATATAGCTTACAAACCTATATTTTTCAAGGCATTGTTTTCTCGAAGGTTTTGTATGTCTAACTTGTCCTAACTTAAAAAATAAATTAAGATCATTTATATATTCGCTACGTCATTATATTTTATTTATTTTTATTTTATCATTAATGGCAAAATATTTTTAAACAAAAGTGAATACCAGCACATTAATTTACTATCGATCACCCTCGCTCCGCTCGGGTTTTAATATTTTTTGGAAAATCTCATTGAAATAGTCGTTATTATCTATACTAAAGCCGAATTTTTGTCTGTCTGTCTGTGACCGCATCACGGAAAAACCACTGGAGACATTTTGATGAAATTAGGTATGATGACAGCTGATTATCCGGGTCAACAACAACTTTTTACTGCAGGAAAATATCTTGTCTCTGAAAAAACTATAATAAACGATAAAACGTAAGTAGGGACGAATCCGAGTGGAGCGAGGGTGAGACGCTAGTCTATATATATAAAAAAATTACAAATATATGAATGAAACATTTTTGTCAGAGCTGGCTACTTTTTATCCCTTAATTATATATTAAAATGTAATTTCAAAATGCCGCAATGCGAATGAGGCATATAATTTATCTATCCTAAAACAATACCTTTTTGGGTAAACTGAAACACAACTTTTTGGATAAATTGGTATCTAAAATTTCTACTTCGTTCATACTAGTATTGGAAGCTCTGCGAATAATTAATTTAGTTATCTTATTATTTATTATCTTTCCTTTTAGACGTAGCATTTTATTTCTGCACTAACTTTATTGAAAAGTATTTTACGTGAAATTTATCAATTGTTATTTATAATTTCATTAAATTACATGAACTTGGTTTTTTGTAGGAATATGTGGAACGTTTGGCGAACAGTATTAGAAGAAAATGAGAAGCTCGCAAGAGCGAGACTGGCTGCAGTGGAAGTGTTCCAGCAGCAAATCGCTGATGAGGCGAAGGTTCTGCGACAGCACAAACTAAATGTCGCGAAAAAAGTAAGTTATAATTATTACTACATATTTAATATCATATCTTTACATTACGCTTTTGGGAATATTTTCTAATGGAAAGAGTGCTAGACAAATTTCATTTTATCTTTCCTTCCATCTGATACCACAAATTTGTTTGCGTTGAAACGAGTTTCACTCTAAAATATCGAGAGCTTTAAAGCTCAATGCCAATGTCGGGTTCTATTATTTCAGATAGCACTGGAGTTTACATATTGAGATGATTGGTTTTCGTGCCTAGTATGCTGTCTTTATTCTCTTTTCATTTTACGAGCACTCAAACGTTTATTATCCTCTAGATAGTTTGTAAAAATATCCAATTGATTGAACATAAACAGATAATTATCATTATAAATCACTTTAATTATTTTGTTACTAAAAAATAATTGCAACGATGTTATTTAAAACCTTTTAATTTCACCGTACTTACTTATTAATAAAAAAGGTGCACCGACTATTTTATGCCGACCTGAGAGATGGAATTTATCTTGAAAATAGATTCACAAATATAAGACATCGCGTAATATATTTAAAAATCGAGTAGATAGTTACCTTTTCCTTTTTAAAATTGGTCAAGAAAGAATGAATGTAATTTCGACGCCTGTTTCATATTATTTAATATGATTCATGATAGTTTATTGAGACAATTAATTGTGATAGTGAGGTGGTCGCGGACGTTAGGTACCATGTCTAGAAGTCCGCGAGAAAATTTTCTTTGTGCAGCTTAGATAAGGTGACGTTAAAAACGAAAGTTTAGTACTTATTACTCGTATTTGTTACAATATTTTATTAATTTAATGTGATTTTTTCCCATTTATTATTTTTAAAAATTAACTGAATATTAAATACAATATATTAAATACATTTATCCCTGTACTGCTGCACACCCGGAGGTCCTGAGTTCGAGTCCCGGGTCGGGTCAAGTTTAGTTATTGAGTCTTTCTGTATAGTAAGTCTCAGTAACAGCCCGGAGTTGGGAAGCTGGCGGTGTTTCACCCCTGTGCCTCGGGGAGCACGTAAAGCCGTCGGTCCTGTGCCTTAACTCTCACTGGCCGTGTCGAGCAGTCGTCCCATCGGGGTATGAGAGTGACAGGAATAGAGAGTGTATTTGTGTCTGCGCGTACACTTGTGCACTATAATATCTCCTGCGCAGTTGGCTAGTCTCAATGAGATTGGCCGCCGTGGCCAGAATCGGTCGGGAGAACATCATCATCATCATTATTTAATATTCATAATCTTAAGGGAGTTTCTTAACTTTCCTAGGGCACCTCCATTCTTCTGACACTTTTTATTTACCTAGAATTCCACTGAATACTAAGCATTAAGTTTAACCACGTTGAAGAAATGTTTATGAGGTTTCTATCCTCTAATTATCAAATTGAAACGTTTTTTGGCGATAAAATATTTTGTGTTTTGAAATCAACATTGATTAAGTTCGTCTATAAAAAGGTAATGAACTGACAGGTCTCTCTAATTTTATACCTTGTGATATAAAATATGATAAAAAAGGTATAAAGTTAAAAAATAAAAGATACAATAAGTTTATGCTCTGACCTAGTTATTAAAAATGTATTGTTATTGCCCCGAGTCCTATTTTGGAGTTTGGGGACGCTAAAATTACACTGTTTATTCTTGGACAATGGCTAGTATTATGTTTAGGTACTGTTAAGAAAAGGTTTAGAACCTTTAATTAACTTTGTTAAGAAATGATAACAATGCAAAATAAAACTACACGTAAAACTATTCTTCTAAAATATATAGAAATATATTGAAAAGCAAATTAAACTTTGATTCATAAATGTAATGTATAAATAATACTATATATAGGTAATGTGACATTTGTATGACTAATAACTAACCCCAGCGGAAACCGAATCTAGTCTTGCAAATTTGTAGTGATTTTTAGATTTATTTTAAAACAACATGTACCTAATGTATATTAACAAAAAAAATATAATTTTTTGATAACTCAACTGCTAGAGCGAAGAAAGGATAACATGACGACTCCTACACTATAATGAGTACAAGACAAGCCATAACTAAATTGCGTCTCTTCATGACAGCAGAACCAGGTTATTAAAAAACCGGCCAAGTGCGAGTCGGACTCGCGCACGTACGGTTCCGTACCATTATCTACAAAAACGGCAAAAAATCACGTTTGTTGTATGACCCTTAAAAATTAATTTTATTCTGTTTTTTAGTATTTGTTGCTATAGCGGCAACAAAAATACATCATCTGTGAAAATTTCAACTGTCTATCTATCACGGTTCATGAGATATACCCTGGTGACAGACGGGCAGACATACAGACAGACGGATGGACGGACGGACAGCAGAGTTTTAGTAATAGGGTCCCGTTTTACCCTTTGTGTACGGAACTCTAAAAAATACCTTCAAATTTCAATCTGAAAATTATTTTCATTTCATTGGCATTTATTTGCTATCTATAACATTACCTTCGCAAATAGTACTTTATACATGAAGGGAGCAAGATAAAAATCCAATTTTCTTCAGTAGAGTTAGGTAAATGTCATAACATTTACACACCAATGCTATAAGACATTAGCACTTAGGCTATTACACGAAGCGTGAGAAAGGTTTGAGTTAGGATCAAAGAAATCTTTGTATATACTTCGCTGTTCTGATATCAAAGTGCTTTGAAAAGCCTTTTTGTTTCTGCCAACATGTTCGTATAACCTTGATGTAGCATTAGGTATATTTCTTCTACAAATATTCTTTCGTAGCTCTAAAAATATATTTAATATTTCTACTGTAATGACAGTGACTGTGGTAACGCGCAAGTAACTTGGTAAACTAAATGAAGCGGGTTAAATTCTGATATTTTCATGTGCAAATCAGTTTTAAAATCAAATGATTACCACTTGTCTTATGGTGAAAGGAAACATCGTGTGGAAACCGTGCATATCTGAGAGAACTTAGCAAGTTTTCGAAAGACATGTGAAGTCTGTCAACACGCACTTGGCGTGATAGACTATGGTCTGATTTCCCTTGTATCGAAAGAAAGTCCGTGCCCAGCAGTGGGGCGTTAAAAAGGCCTGAATACATTCTTGTAATATTAAGTTGAAAGTTCTAATAACAGAATTTATAATTAGGAAATTTTTAGTTCAAAAGATATTGCTTCCACTATACTTTGAAAGCATATTGCTTTTCTGATCAATGCAGGGAGTTAATAGATTTATCCACAATTCTCCACGCGAACAAAGCCGCAGATAAATTGATTTCAGTCCACTAACTTTTTAAAGTGGCACTTCAATTTTGATTCATAAGAATAGATCTAGATATACCTACACAGAGCCAGTATCTAGATTAATAATAATACCTTATTAGTTATTTGTTATATAATGAAAATGTAGGTATATATTTTTTGTACCAAGTAAATTTCAGGAATTTGTTGAGGCAATGGATTCCAGATTTTCATCATTAAGATATTTAAATACAACATTATTTATTATATTTACCGTATCTTTAGGTACCTATATCAATCTCCGCGGCCCTAACGATCGCGCGTCCTTAGCCGACCAATATTTACACGAATACCCTCGCCTTAAAAGATTATACACTATATATACATATAACGTAGGTACTATATCTAGTTCTTCACCTTTGACCTTTTTAAGAAAGTATAGAATTTTCTAATTACAACATTTCTAAGTACTTCTGACTATTCTAAAAGTCGTGGGCTGATTTCTTACAAAGAGTTGGTAATTCACAATTTCATGGGTTTTCTTTTTTTTGCGCGGAACAGTGATTCTTTTTCTAAAATAAAAGTTTCTTTTTATAGCATCAGCAATCTGCCAGTGAAAGTCCCGTCAAAATTGGTCCAGCCGTGTCGGAGGTTAGCCGGAACAAACAGACAAAAAATTTAAAAATTGTTTTTCCTTATTAGTACTGTATATACGAGTACTATATATTTTCATATGCATTTAGTAAAAAGTTCTTGTTTTGACAATACAAACAGAAAATTTTATTTATCTGTATATTATGAGCCCTATCCTACTCATCTATCTCACAAAAAGTTTGTGGTATTGAAATATTTCTCTACTTAAATAAATATGACTGATAAAATAAGAAATTATGAACTTCTAGAAGTTGTAGCTGAAGCTGCAGACATGTTACGGCTGCTTATATAAGTTAAAATAATAATTTTTAATTAAATACTTAGCTTTTTAGCAATATTGTAAATATAAAATATATAGGTATAATAATAAACATAGAACATTATGTTTAAAAAATAAGTAGCAAAAGGAATTAATTTATTTAAAAAAAGAGTGCGTGTATCAATATGTACATGTGTAAGAAGTCAAACTTCTGTAGATCATCGGTATTTTTTATGAAATTCTATTTATGTTTTAAATAATTGGGATAGAAGCGATACTAAAACAATATTTTTTATCAATTTTAAAATTAATAAAATATTTATTTTATTTAAATAATTTTTAATTGACTAAATTACGTTTCCGTTACAAAAATCGTAAGTCAATACTTTTTTTCCTCTCATAGCGCGCATAAAGAAATTTTACTTCAAAAAATCTTTAGTTTCGCGCTTTAAACTATCCTGTTATATATTACACGTCACATATGGCATGTGTATAAATGTTAAGGGACGCAATAGTTTGGTATTCGGTGAGATTAAAATATAGAGAATTTAAAAAAAAAACATTTTTAGAATAAAATAGTGTTTTTAAAATGAGATTTTAACATGCTGAAATAAATTAAATCTTGTGGGGCTTATTCTAAATGTTAATTGAATCATGAAAATTCTATTTTTTATAATACTATATTTATTATTTTTTAATAACAGTGTACTGATTCCTTGGCCCAAGCGCACAAAGAGTTACAGTTAACAGTTATAGATGTGGATAAAACCAAGAAGCTATACTTTGATGAAGAACATACTGCACATGATGTTAGAGATAAAGCTAAAGATATCGAAGAAAAGTAAGTAGTGTCATGAAAAATTTATCTTTTGTAAAGCTTAACATAAGACTGAGCTATGTTTTTTTTTATTTTTATTCAGATTGAAAAAGAAAAAGGGCTCATTCTTTCAATCTATTACGTCTTTGCAAAAGAATAGTGCCAAGGTGTCATCTCGTAGAGATCAGCTTGAAGAAAAATCTACTGGGGCGAGAAATGATTATCTACTGAGTATTTCAGCTGCAAATGCTCATCAAGTACGTACATAATATAATAATGTCTGTAGATATTATAGAATATAGATACTTATTAGCTTTAATCTCGATCATTATAAATTATTATAATATTTATTTTTCAGAATCGCTACTTTCTTGTTGAGCTTCAAACTTGTATGCAAAGCATGGAATCAGCTGTTTATGAAAAGGTTTCTGAATTTCTCACCTTAATGGGTCGTACTGAACTATTGACATGCTCTGCCACTCAGCATTCTTTCGGTAAAATAAGAGATCAAGCCCAACAACTTACTCGGGAATATAATCTGCAATGTCTTTATTTGTATTATCCCGTCCTTAAACAACATATTCAGGTATAAATAAACCATCACCAAATGTTTAATATATGTATAAGTAAAAAAAACTATGAATATAAAAAGCTTAAATGTTTTATTTTTATTCTTTAGTATGAATTTGAACCATGCGACAATGATCCAATTGATACCGTGACAATGGAACATGAGACTGTTTCACAAACACTAGCACAAGAGGCTCGACGGTGGGCAACACGTGTTGTCAGAGAGACAGCTCAGGTCAGAGATGCCGTACGCAAATTACATCTCTATCAAGCTATGCGTGATGCAGGACAAAAGGTTACTGAAGATGAGCTAACAATTTAATCAAATGCTTTTTGTTTTCAATATCTTTCATATTATTATGTCTTAATCACAGGTCGATCCTAATGATCCTAATGGACCAGAACTTGACGTACGTATGGATGAGCTAAAATCTAATATTCGCCGTTCAGAAACTTCAAAGGCAAAATATGAAGCCAGGTTGGAATGCCTACGAAACAGTGGTGCACCTGTAGATGAGTGGTTAAAGGAAGTTGATTTGCTTGCTGTTCAGGATACTTTACCTCGAAGCAGCAGTCTGCTTAGCGTTCGTACAGATGCTTCAGGAGCAGCTGTAAGTTTGATGATTAAATTTGTTTGCCTTGATATAAAGCATATGTACTTCTAATATTAAGAAATATGATTTATAAAATATGATTGCATTTTAGTGATTAGTTAATTAAAGTAGCAATTGTGTATATAGGATCAGCCTAGCTCAGATTCATTCTATGATAGTGATAACACTGAAGGGGAGGTAGCCACTACTTCAGCCGTGGCAAGCACTTCAGGCCACCAAAGAACAATATCTGGATCACAAAATGAAGATGAACATGACGAAGACGTTGACGGTAATATATTTTAAATTAACGAACGATATATTGGAAAATTACAAGAAAATTTATATAAACCATACCATTTTTTTTGGATTTGGCATTTGGCAAAACGAGGAGGTTCTCAATTCGTCGGAATCTTTTTTTTATGTATGTTCACCGATTACTCAAAGACACATGGAGAGATTTGGATACCTCTTTTTTTGTTTAACAGAGCAAACTTTCGAGGTGGTCCTATTTAAATTTTATCGAAATCGGTTAAGCGGTTTTAAAAAAATCAACAATAAATTATTTTTAAATAAATGGCTTAATCGAATATGTTATTAAAAAAAAATACCGACTTCCAGGCACTAAAAAGTAAAAAATTACTAAACGGAGGTTTTCATTTAGAATAGATATTTTCAAAGTCAGATATTTTCAAGGTTGGTGCCAGGCAATACAAAATTCGTACTCTTTTTCTTTGGAAAACGACTTTCGACTTCGTGTTTGGAAGTCGTTTTTTTTAAGTTTTTATGTCGTACTATTCGTAACAACGGCTGCGCAAAAAAAAACTCTTTGTTTATAACTAATGATTTGATAGCTGTAATGATTTTCAAATGTAAGTATGATTTCGACTCATGCATCGAGGATTCCGTACCGCCGAATATTGTGTTGTTATATTTACAAACTAAAATATTATTTTACGTTTTCTAAAAAAAATAATTTTAGCGATCGTAAGTCAAATTATCTAGTATCTTAAAAGATATTTAACATATATTTTGTAAATTAAATTTTCGTTTAAAGTAATTAGCAAACTTCACTCCACTTTTTTTGCACATTTTTTTACTCCATTTTTTCAATGTTAGAATAGAGTACAATGATACAACTGGCATACATACAATATTTACGACTTTAGAGTTTAGACTCTTGTAACTCGGCTAATATAGCTAAGAACTATTATACTAACAGGCTAAGATGTAGGTAATTTCAAAAATCTTCTTCTGAAACTTACAGTCTTCCCTTCCTTTTTTAAATTACATATATAAAGTGCCATCTTTATTTGTTACAGCTTTCTGCCCGCGGCTACGTTCGCGTGGACAAATTTGTTCAGTTTTAATTTCCATTGAATTTATATGTCATGTCGAATTCGTACATTTATGTAATCACCCTAGATTCACTTAGTCTTAACATTCTCGTATACCACATTGGTGGTTGTTCTGTCTGGTACTAAAATGCCTAAGTGAGAAGCAATGATTTATGATGTCTGTTACTTTTAATGACTGGCCCTTAGATTTATTAATGATCATTGCAAAGCAAACTTTAAGGGGAAATTGCAATCGATTAAATTCAAAGGAGCAATCAGAGGGTAGAGATTGGTACTGGAGGTATGAATACCGAGTCTCCACAAGCACATCGAGTAAATACAGTGGCTACTATTATGTTTTTATGGAGACGTGTTACTCGTAGTCTACTCCCGTTACATAGCTTAGGTGGATCAACCTTCAGAAGGAGTTTAAGAGAAAAGAGACTTGATGGGTTAACAGCGTTAAGAAACTCGACAGGATAGTGAACTACTTCTTACATTTACATCCCTGAATCAACAGAACTATATTTTATATCTGACCCGACGAAGACTTTGGCAGCAGGTTATTAAAAACAATTGCTGGTATGGCACTAGCTTATATAGGACGCGGCCTCTGTAGGAATGGGAATATTTTTGATAGGAGAAGTAATAGGGAGTTTAATATATAAAAAATATTGTAATAAAATGAAGGTGTCAACATTTATGGAGACTTAAAGTTCTAAAATTTTCATATTTTTTTATACCTAAAAAGATCATCACTAAAGATAAACATACTTTTAAAGCATCCTTTTTCATGTACAATTTATTAAGGTTCTCTTGTTCCAATTTTTTTATAATTTCACTTGAAAAAATATAAATACAATAATCCTACATTTTGACAAAACTATCAATTTCTTTTTTAATATTTTTTTCACGAAATGACAGATTATCACTTATTACACTTGCAGCCGCTGTATTTATAAAAATAGCAAAAAAGTTTCTTTTTCGGATGTAACAGAAAACAATGTAAGAAACTGAACAACTGAACGTTAATTTGTCAATTCTGTCAATACTTTTGAAGATATCCCTAGTTCCCACTGTCTTCTGTCTCACTCACTCATTTTTATTTGTATAAGATGTAATATTTTTAAATATTAAAATTAAGTTTTTGTCTTTAATTTTAAGCTGCTTTAGAAGAAGAGCGTATGCGTATTGAACAATTAACTGTTGGTTGGGATGATCCTACACAAGTGAACTGGGGTGAGGCGGAAGCTGAATCTGCTCCTCCACAAACTACAGAACCTCCAGCGCCTCCGTTGTATAAGTGCACTGCTCTGTACTCTTACACAGTAAATACTTTTTTGTTTTATACTCTGAATTAATGACATAAAATTGCCCTAAAATAAATTATCGACTATTTTATATATAGGCCCAAAATCCTGATGAGCTCTCCATAATTGAAAGTGAACAACTAGAGGTAGTAGGTGAGGGTGATGGTGACGGTTGGCTCCGCGCTCGTAACTATCGTGGTGAAGAAGGTTATGTGCCACATAACTATCTTGATGTTGAACGTGAACAGGTATTCTTATATCTTGTTAATGAAGACTGCTTACTATTATATAATTGTCGATGATAAACCCATTGAACTTTAAATATATTTTTATTAGGCAACTAGCGCTCCGGGATTGGTGTCTCAAATATCTTTTTCATCTGTGGATTATACAGTAGAGGGTGAGGATGCTGATATCGTGCAATCTCCTGATCAAATATCCGTAATTTCTGCTCCTGTTGCCAAACCTGAGGAACATAAACCTGAGGAGACTCCAAAGGAGGAGCCTGAAACAAAGCCAGAACCATTGCCAACTCTTGGATATTGCTTTTCCTTATACGATTACGAAGGAGAAGCAGATGAACTTACTCTCGAGGAAGGACAGGTTGTGTCCAGTCCATTAGGACATTTTAACTATAATCTAAATCCAGTACATTAAATAGATTAATGATGTTGTTTATTATACTAATGACAGTTCATATGTTTTATCTAGATTATACGCATAGTTTCACGTGATGCTCATGGTGTTGATGATGGCTGGTGGCGCGGAGAAGCCAATGGTGTTATTGGCAACTTTCCATCTCTTATTGTCGATGAATGTGATGAGGTAAAAATTGATTTTGGACTTTTTTGAATGTCAATATCATAAAACGTATGTTGAAAATATTTAACTAATTTTTAATTAATGCTTCAAGAATGGGGAACCACTTAGCGGAGGTGAAGATGATTGGACTCCACCAGACTCTGCTCCACCTGTGTTTGCTTCACCGCCTGAATCACCGTCTGGCGCGTTTAATGATGAGAGTAAGTACAAACTGGTGATGCCTCTATATTTTTTCAAATTTTCTTTATTTCTTTACTTCTTTGCACTGTTGTTTCGTGCCTTGGCAACTTCATAAGCTTAATGTGTTTTTTCAACTTGGGTGTTAAAACGAAATACAATGACGTGAAGTTGTCTGTGTGCGGACCTTTTTCGCTGATGTTTTGTACGCAGTTAAACATATTTTTTGTGTTGTAAAAATAGTCGCCAATATAATAAAGTTGAACACGCGATAGATAGCTTTTGGCTGATTGGGTTATTGGTTGTCGACTTCATTCCCAATTGGCATGAATATTAAATTTTGTTGACAGTATTGTATAGCACGTTAATAACGTAAACTAGTTGTTGGTAAGTCAAATAAAATGCTACGTATTATAGGGTCCATCGCCATAAATGCATGACATCTTGCACGATTATATTAGAAACTCAAGGAAGTCGTTTCGATATGCCCAATAGATTAATTAAGTAACTAAGATAAATCATCATTATTTCGATTTTTTATTTTAACCATTGTCCAGTGACTCATTACCTAAATTATGAATGTGACATTATCGGTGTTGTCAAAGAAAAAGTTTTAAGCTTTAAAATCAGGACTTGTTAACTGAGGTAATCCTCAAGCAGTAATATTGCAGAAATTATAAAGGGGTATTGCAGTTTCATTGTGTGATTCGCGTTAAATGTGACGATTATGCGAGGCTGTTCGTGTTTCTCAACTCGCAAGTGACTTCTTCTCTCGTCTGATCTTTTGCCTACTTGCACGATCTTCTATTTGTATGCCCGTATTCGATGGTTCAATTATTTGATACCCTTGGACGCTGCCAGTGATCGTAACTGAGAACAACAATACTAAGACCGCCGCTCCACCGGCGGACCCGCCCCCGCCGCCCCCGGTGGACATGGGCGACTCCATGGACAGCCAGCCAGACTTCAGCTTTAATCTAGAACTGACTAGGAATCAACACGAGCAGTATGATACACAATTCACAGGACCACCCTCAGTCACTCCGCCCGTCACTATCGTTGGTAAGTTTAAGGCAAAAACGACATTTGAAAATCTGACAAATATAATTTATTTACTTTTTCTTTTAAAAATTACATTCAGAACAGAAAAAAATGAATAGATAATAACTATTGTACCAACGTCGTCATGATTTTTTTTTATTTTATCATCAATGGTTAAAAAACGTCAGTTTCTCTCTTGATATGTATCTTATTGATATGTAGCAAACACTTTTGCTATTATTATTAGAATGAAAATATTATTATCGCTATATTTTTTTTATATATATTTTACAAATACTACAATTCTGCATAAACAATGTCATGGAGTGATTATTCCATTTAAAATTTTCACGCTGTTTACCGCGTGTCATTTTATTTCATTTGATCTTTAAAAAAACCGACATTAATTTCCTTGAAAGAATCTTAAAATATAATTTAATTGAAAATATCTTAATATGTCGAAACATGCAAATAAGTGTCATAGATCTGTATTATAAATAACATTAAGTGAATTCTTTTTCATGCTTCAGTCGATGAGGTTGTCGGTGAAATTTTTGAGGAGGAGGTTTGGCTTTTTATTTCAACATACTTTTACAGCGTTATTATGTCTAGGTTCGCTTTGTTGTGGTGCATTGCCAAGCAGTGACAGTAAGAGCTTGTAGTGTGTCTAGTTTCACGAGATTAAGCTTTGTATGAACGCGATCGGGCACAAAATCGATAATGTCGGCTTCATTCATATATTGTGTATGTACCTATATAGTTGCAATTCAAAGTTCTGCAAATTAACGAAAATAAACTGCGGCTGCAACTCTTTAATTTGAAAATATATTGCCAAAAGTCTCATTATTCCATTCAAACACATGTTTTCTTTGTATAATATCACTATTAGTTCGCGTCTTGCCCTAGTTTTATAATTTCGTTATTTGCTTATAGTAGGTATTTAAGTTGTGTCCATTTCTGTAAGATATTTGTGGCCGATCGCACAAAGTCGTGTTAAAGGTCACAAAATTGTGCTTGGTGTTGTTACACTTTTGCTACTAACATGGTATACAATTTTACTTTTCTAATTGTAATAATTTATATATTACATACATACAATTAAGCTCCCAGCTACGTATATCTTACATTTTAACAAGCAATTTAGTTTGGATAAGGTACGAAACAATTATTTTCCAAATATTAATAGATGGTTACTATGCATATTAATATTAATAATTGGGTAATAATAGATATTAGTAAGTTTTGTAGGTGTGCACATGTATATATGTACTATAAGTAAATGTGGTAACAGTTGCCATTCTTTAGAATATAATAATAGCGACAACATCCTCCGGACTCTCACAATCATGAGCATGTTTGGCTTTATGCATGGATTCAGCTTGTTATATTTAATAATAAGCGAACAGGTATTATGTTATGACTTCATGAGATTCGATAAAATTAAAGAGAGTGCTAGAGTGTGAAATGTATTCTGTTTGTATGAAAATTATATTGCTATATATTTATCGTCAATTTTATTTAAATGAACATGTGGTTGCCAGGAGGTGGAGGAGTTGCCCCCTGCCCCCAAGCCGAAGCCTGCGCCCCCACAAGTTGAAATAACAAATGAAGATTGTGGGCTCGGTGTGGCACAGATAGTCATCACGGCCGCCACGCCCATGATGGAGGAGCCCGAACAACCCTTCCCTCCCCTGGAGCCTGAGCGCGATCCTGAGACCGAGACGCAGCAAGAACCCGAGCGCCCTGAAGATAACGATGACGAGGAATCATCACTTTCTGAGCAAACTGCAGTTTGCTTACGCGACTCGGAGGAAGGTCACGCCGACTCCGCCCCGCACCCGGCCTCGAGCTCGACGGCCTCGGAGGGCGAGTCGACGGGCGCCTCAGTGGCCTCAGGGCCACCCACCGCCCCGCAGTCCCCCCCGGCCGCCCCCCGCGCCGGACGCGCCTCCATACCTGACGAACTTGAGCCCGCGCAACTCGCGAGGTTGACGGACCTCAAAGAATCCAATGCTTAGGCCTATCGCTTCGACTGAAAATTAGTTATTGTTCAACCCTTTAATCGACGTACGTACAATAACGCATCCCAAAATTTGTAAAAATCATTTCTTCATTTAGCCGTAGAGTCGATCCACCAGTATTGCTCGTTTATGTATACGTTATAAGAACTTTTGTAATCTCGTTTTCGTTCCAAACAAAGGACGACCGTTTCTCACACATAACTATTACATATCTTGTGTTATATTTAAACAAATTCAAAATACCCATTAGAAGCACTAAATATCAATTTTAAGCTCTTTTGGAATACATATACTCATTCTAATATTATATGATTGGTTTCAAATTCATAACAATATCATCATAAATGTACCTGAATGTAGTTAAATTAAGTTTATTATAATTTAGACACATTTTATAAAAAGATGTGAGTGCATCAAAACAAAAGAAACCTGCATTACCTATATAAAAATCTTTGCTACAAATTAAATGTATCGAAAAATAACTATTATGTTTCTTAGTAACACTTGTATTATGGTAACACAAATTAAAGAACTATAAATATTTAAAGTACAACACTTTCAATAAAATGTACAATAATTTTAACTAGAGACTTTTTGCCTTGCGTGGGTAAATAGTTTTTATTAATCTATTCATTATAAATTATTAATACATTTTCAGATGTTTAGAGCACCAGCAGTCGATCGTAATCATGTACCTACCTAGTACCTAGTATATAATTTTAGTTAAAAGATTTGTATGACTTTTCTAGTTTTCAAGGATGAATTGCGTTTGTCTCAACAAAAATAGGTCAATTCTAAATTTATACATAAATCGTTAATATTAAAACTTATGAAATTAATAAGAAACTTTTTGTTATTTAGTTGTTTAAAAATTATTAATGAATACGTACCTATTAGTGACTTATTACAGTACCTACCTTTCCTAATATTTCGACAATAGATTTTTCTATTTAAAAAAAAATGTGGAGTGGGAAGCGGTCACATAAATATAGAACTGTTGTATATATGTTTAACTAATAAAATACCTATCTATATAATCTACGAGTAGTTAATTGCTGACACATGATCTAGACTCTTTGGATAAGCAAAGTTTGTAAAAGTAGTTTTCGCGTGTTGGTTGAAGACAATAGGATAAAAATAAAAACAAGATACAATAACAATTTTGTTTGTGTCCTATGAATGATGAAATGCTTAAGAATTAGGTGATCGTCAAAAGTAATAAGGGTGTATATAATGGATAATAATTAATCACTTAACTAAATAGTTTATTACGCGTTACGCATCCGCTGTTTGTTAAAAATTATTTAAACTGAACATCACCGAGATAAGTGGCCTAAATACTATTATTTTAAATAAAAACTATAAACTCTCTTATACTTATTTGACTTCGACCAACATGAAGAGTAGATACAATACGTTGTATTCTATTGGGCGTATAGTGATACACTCTACAATGAGATGTTTGACGGCAAATGCAGCTATAGCCAGGGTGTTACTACCTTCTCCAGTTAAATTCCAAAAAGCAGCCGAATTATATTTGCTCTACATTTTTCACAAATCATCTGAAATTTTTACCAAAGCTTTATATTAACTTTATACAAGCTCTATAAGTCTAAACTTATCTATAAAACAACAACCATGGTTATAGTAACGTATGTATACATGTACGTTGGTATTACATTTTCGTCAATAATTTTCAGTAAAGTAGCTCAGTATTTGGATAAAAAATATTTCTAGTTTATATTTACTTATCATTATTAGTGACCAAAATATTATTTATTAAAATTCTATATCTTAAACAAAACGTAACACAATTATATTGTAGTAAATAGGTAGTTGTTACTTAAATACAATTTGTTATACTTAATAATGTAATTAGTGTTTTAGTCAACTTACCTAAAGACGCAGTTTGTTATCTCGTTTACAATTCAATGCTTTAACATACTTATAATATTGATTAGAATGATCTTATTACAGCTATCATACGATTGTTATTATTATAATGTTGATATTAAAATGATTAGATTATAATAATAAACCTTCTTTCATTTTAGATACTCGTACATCATATACGGGCATATATCTTCGTACACAAGATTTATACTTTACTTTTTTCTATTTAGCATCAGCTAAATGACACGTTGGTAATAAAGAGTAATCACGTAGACGTTGTATCTTGTTTTTTCAGAGAAGACTGTAGCACTCTGTAGACTATATTAACTAAGAATGTAACAAATGACTGTTAAAAAGATACAATTACACTGTGTAAAACTTGCGTATAATAATTAATATATATTATAAAATAGATATTTCTTAAGTGTTGCATTTCTTTAGACAAACCAAAAAGAATATTAGATCACTATAGCCTAAGTACTGGAAACGCTGAATGAATTTAAATATATATAAATACTCACTCCTTGGCTTGTATTATTTATATATCTAATCCTATATATCCTACATCCACATGACGTCCTTAGGATTCCTTGCATTTGATGACAATATTTGCGTGTCAGTCTGTCTGTGCCAATGTCATAGCTTAAAAGGACTTTTATATATTATGTACTTTCAAAATGAATAGTTTAAAAGATATCTCGGAATTTATTGATAACAAAGAAACATTACAACAATCTTTCTTCTTTATAATATTACGCTCACTTCGCTCGAGTTCGTCCCTACGGTACGTTTTAGTTTTACGCTTATTATGGAAAAGATAGTCAATCGCTTCTCTGTGAAAAACAAAAACAAATCTATCCCACTGGAATCATACATTTTTCGTGCTGCATGTGCTGCAAGTGCTAATCCAGACAATAATCTATCACTGTTGTAACATTAATGGGATTATATTATACTACTCGTATATATTATAGACATAGTCTGTAACAGTATTTATGGCCAGGCTATGTATATGACTTGAGTAAAAGTTATCACTACATAAAATTTTAAATTTAGATAAAATTGGTTCTGTACTTTTTGCGTGAAACGCGCACACCCAAACATACAAAAATATTAACACGTTGCAGTCATTGTTCTTAAACAATATTTCATGTACAGATTTCGCTAAGTTACTGTTTTATTATATAATAATCCAGTAAGTACCTGAATTTCGTCATTTCTTAAATTTTATATTTAATATGTTAAATTTATTTTTATTGATAGTGTCCGAAGTGACTTGTGCAAGCCAGAGCAACAGTTTTAGATCTATTTTTATTCCTCTGAGAAAATTATAAATTTGTTGTAAAAGTAGAGACTTCTTTAGGAAATTTCTTTCTCTCTTCAAATCTTTTTTTAGATTAAAAAAATCTTAATTAGTTATTGAGATATTTGCAAAAAAGTAACCCCCTTTTTTATTTTTAGTTAATTGCTCATAACTTTTGCAATTTTTGCAAGTGAAAAACCATGTACATACATGCCATTCCGAATCGAATGACAACTCGGTCATATTTTTCCGAGACTGCTGAAAAAAGTTAACCTAAAAGGCACTTGCTGACTAGACTATGTAGGCCTTTTACAAACAGAGAATTGTGACGTACAGGATAAAATCTTTAGCCATTTTTGTTCTGTTACGCCAAAGAAGTATAACTTCCTACGTGCGAACATAAGGACACACACGTTTTTTTTATTGATTGGTGGTACTGATGAATCTTTATAATGCAGAATAAAATATTTTAGCTTAGCCATAATTTTCCTTTGATGAGTAGAGTTCATTCAAAATTCAATATGATTCGTAGGTAAAATTCAACAGTTTTAATGAATAATTAATTAATTTATGCTCATGAGAGGTCATCTGTAGAATTTCAATCAGAAGCTTTCAATAAATATAGTATAATATACAGAAATAGAAAAGTGCTCTTTTAAAATACACCTTTATAGTTTTAATTGAATCGGCTATTTCGGTACCTTTTTAGGCTAAAACTACTCGATGAATAAATAACTCGACTGTCAAGATAACACCATTAATATATTAGGAATTTATTAGCAAATAGACGTGCACTTAAGTGTCTAAAAGTAGAAAACGAGAATATATAATTTTAGATGGATAAATAATGTTATCCCGTTATCGAGTAAGCAGATTCAGTATAAGATATTAATACTTTTTTAGATTTCCGCGAATAATTGACATCCATACTAATAGGTATTATAAATGAGAAATCGTTCGTCGTTTGTGTCGAAACAGTGAATGTGAAGGATTGGCGTGATTTCTTTTGTGGAGATAGTTGGAGGGCTGGAGAGTGACTTAGGCTGTTTTTTACCGCGAGAGATTATCTCATGGAGAAACAAGGATTTACTTCACATTGCGTTACACGAATTCAAAGATTAGATATTTTAAGAAAATCTGGATTTTGTACTTTGGGAATATTCTGCCACTTTTCCGGTATATCTTAAGACGTAATAAACATACATTGACAACATTATAACTTTATAGAGAAAGAAGTTCTAGTTATGTAGGTTATAAAATTGTATTAGTAAAAAATTCAAACAAAAGTTTATATTATATGCGAAAATGATGATAAATAAGATATGAATAAAAATTATAAAGTTAATCATTTAAAGATTAATAGTTTAATGTGAAGAAACAGATGTTCGCTGCTGGAAATAGTTCTGCCGCTGCCCCTATCTGCCGCTGATATTTGCGAATGCGAATATTTAAATATAACTTCATTAGGCGTGCCATGAGAGGGAAAAAAGGATTAGCGTTACGATTTTTGTAACGGAAATTGTTACGCTGGGCGTTACGGAAGTGAATAAATAGTCAATTAAATATTTTTTAAACTATTATATGAATATAATATTTACAACATTCGATTGAAAATTAAATTTTATGTTAATACCATCTGTACTATGTGAATAATAAAATATTTCATGTACAAATGTTATGCAATGTTACATTTAAACTGATAAAAATATACACATTGATACACGCACTCTTTAATTTTTTTCATTATTTGTTAGGGTTTTTTTCTAAAAGAAGCTTAAGAGAAAAATAGCTTTTTGTTTGCTTTGTGTTTTATATCCGAATAAGGTTTTATTCAGTTTATCAAAAGTTGAAAGTTAATTTACATTTTTCTTTTTTTATCTAAAAGTGAAAAAGTTTAATTTAAATTTTCAGTTTTTGAATAATAAATTAAGTATTATAAAAGAGACAATAAGTTTTATAAGAGAAGATCATTATTGAAAAAAATGAAAATAAAGCTCCTAGATCTATATGTAAAGATAGTAGTAGTAGGAAGTGTAAGAGAAGAATACATTTTGTTTGTTTACATCCAGACACAATATTTTTTGTTTGCTGACTTGTAATGAAAAGTTGATTATCTGTACTAATATTATAAAGAGGCAGAGTTTGTTTGTTTTTAAGCTCTAATCTCAGAAACTACTAATCCGATTTGAAAAAATCTTCTATATAGTCTATATATATATCTATCACATATAGTCTATCTATTCCATACTAACCATTAAAACGTACCTAGAAAGGAAAATAGTTATGAATCGCTAGTTTATTTTAAAATTGAAAGCTTTAGTTACTTAATTTTATAGAATGTGAATAAGGCTATGTGATATGTGGTTAAAAATAAACGCTGATTATTGTCACAGACTAAATTACAAAGTCAAGTTACAAAGAAAAAGTTTTCTAATAAAGATAATAAAACTTAATACTATTAAAATGCTTTTTCTAACATTCATGCACCTACGCAAAATTTTCTTATCAATTTTGGGAATGCGAATGTCAAAAAATATGCGAATATTCTTTACATCACTAATAGGTATTAAATAAATAAAAGATTTTTTTAGTTCTATACAGTAGTTTATTAAAGAGGTAGACGATACATTTACTGTTAGTTTTAATATTTGTGAAAAACAGCTTATTCAATTTAATTATGAAGCATAAATACACTGTCTCCGTATTTAAATACGACGTATATTCTCGATTTATTATTTACAATTTCAAATAAGTTAAATATTGATGTTCTTTTGACCGATTCCGGCCACGGCGGCCAATCTCATTGAGACACAACGTGCACTCTCTATTCCTGTCACTCTCATACTCCGGTGGGACCAGGGCCGGATTATCTATAAGGCAATGTAGGCATCTGCCTAGGAACCCCAAATCGTCTAAGGGCCCCACGCACCGAGCAAAAATTTGAAACATCGAGTGAAAATTTAATTTTATTAAATTAAAAAAAATTGGTGAATATTCTACCATGAGGACATTAATTACAACCGTTAGATTTCTATGAAATCTATATAATAGAGTAATTACGAATATAATTGCATTATGTTAGAAAAAATATATACCAATAAATTAGAAAAGGGTGAAGGGGCCCCGGAAATTGCATTGACTAGAGCCCCCCAACATAATTCGGCCCTGGATGGGACGACACGATCTCGATCGATGAGGCAGTTACCGTAAGTGTTGTACATAAAAATAATAATAATACAAATATAAACTTTATGAACAATGATTCACCAATACTAATTAATTAATACATTATTTAATATACAGAGTAGAAAGTCACAGAGTTTTACAGATGCGTCTATGGATAATAAGTTATGGCACGCTTTACAAAAGTAATTTATGCCAGAAATGCTATAAAATTTAATTATTAACATTTACTATGTAGTCACAATAATATAAATATATTATAATATTAATACACTGTTCTGAGATATTTTGTGCGAGTTTAACACTCCATAAAACAAATGCTCTTATGTATTAAATTAAATAAAGACAAAATTAAATCTTACATTTTACACCGATTAGTAATTTTATTGTTATTTTTATTTTTTTAGTTTTTATTTTATAATGGCCCGGAATTGCGTCAGAGGTGTAACACACTGCGTTAGTGTTACGTATTCTGAGAAACATACGAATTAAGTGCGGTCAATTTGAAATTTAGCAGTATTAAAACGATATGAAAAGTATAGGTATGGCATGACGGAAAATCTTATATCGGTTAAGATTTGTACTGCGCGTATATCTCTTGGAACATGTCACGACAATTCAACTTGACTTTTAGTTTTGAACAGAGTAGAAAAACACCAGATAGTTTTCTGTGCAAGGAGTATATTTCCTCTGGGGGCGGGCACAGTCTGTGCGTGAGGATTGTTGGTATAAGGGCTTGTATACGTCTTGTGGTCTTCTGTGCACCGAAGTCGAATTCACCTGTGCCTTCCATTGTGAATACTTCCCCCATTATGAGGACTGTGTCCACGTGAGTCTCTTCCATTATCTAATTGAGAAAATTTGAAAGTCATTTATTGTTGTTTTATCTTACTCATGTCATAAACTGTGTACGATTTTGTTATTATATACTAAACTTTTGATAATAGTCTATATCAGTATATTACGTAATAGGTATGCTATGTATTCAGCCCTTTTTAATGCCCCACTGCTGGAGGTGAACCTCCCTTCAATACGAGGGGGATCAGACCATAGTCCACCACCAAGTGCGGGCGGGATGAGCATGTCTTTCGTAAACTTGCTCAGACATGCAGGTTTCCTCACGATGTTTTCCTTCACCATAAGGCAAGTGGTAATCATGTTAGAAATGATTCGCACATGAAAATATCAGAAGTGTGAGACCCGGAATTTGAACCCGCTTCACTTTCCCAAGCGAGCGCGTCACCACTGGGCTACCATTGTCTACAACCTGCTACAAGGTATACTATACTAAACTTACAATATTTGATAGATTGATTTTAAAATAAATAGATACAATAATTGATTATATTTTATTATTACCTTAGACTCGTATCCGGTGAGGAACTTCATTTCTCGCGACATGCGCAAGATGGTGTCGCGGTCGTTCTCTGATGCCGCGTTGATAATTTCTATATACTGGTCCATAAACTCTTTGGAATATTCACGAGTTGCACCAAAGTCTAATAAAATTACCTGTAGGAAAAAATACATTTATTGTCAAACATTCAAATTCATATTTACACTTTATAGTAATTTCCTAATAAGAATTACTATTATTGAAGCAAATTCTAAAATATGTTAGTGTTAGGACTTAGGTTAGAAAAGAAATAAATAAAAAAAACATCTTTGTTGGAACAAACTGAAAAGTTACATTATAATTAAAATGAAACAATAGTGTATTTATCAACATACAAACTTTATATTATAGTAGCAGTGTGGTAAGCGCTGCTAGATCTTGTTAATATGTTTGAAATAGCTAAGATATAGGTAAGTGTAAAATTAATATTTTCTTCGTAGTTTGTCAAAGAGAAAAAATTACTCTTTTATGATATTGAACGATGGAAATTAAACTGAAAATTTCAACACACCGCAGCATATTATGAACTTCTTGAAGTTTTATAAGTTTTATAAAGTTGTTTTAAGTTTTAACATTTAATATAGTTTTCTCAGACATGAGATATTTTTCCCGCAGTAAAAAGTATCCTATATGTTGATCCGGAAAACCCGCTATCATCATACCAAATGTCATCAAAATCTGTCCAGTGGTTTTCTCGTAATGCGGTCACAGAGAGACAGACAAAAATTCGGAAAACTATGGATTTGGCCTTTGTATCGATAGTAATGTCTATTTCAATAAGATTTTTCAAAAAATATTTAATGTACAGATTCGGCTTAGTTACAATTTTATTATATGTATAGATTACTTACAACACACAACTTACTTAATACATCCCAAAAGAATTATAAATATGTAATAACCAAATTATTTGGTATTCAATAAAGCATCTACAACTAGGTATAATATTATTAATCAGGACTAATAAAGTTTGCCATACAGCGAGACTCAATATCCTGCCGTACGATGCGACGGTAGGAAATATAAAATCAGTACAGAGGTCGTGATAACTATGTTATGTATGGGATCGGATGTGACAAGAGAGGTTAATTAGTGGCTAACAGTATTAGCGTGAAGCGTGCATCGAATTACGTGAAAATAGGCTCTTTGAGGTTTCGAAACGTGAGCAAATTGCATTTTATAAAAGCCATACGTTCGACGACCTTTTGCGGGGATCATGTCATCAAACCACTGATTTAATTCAATAAAACTTGTTCACGGTCCATCGGTAGTGCGGTGACGTCGGGGAACATTTCACGCTGAAATGTTTTATTTAATGGCGGGAGGAAACTTCTGAACTTGTAGGTATTTTAAGTAAAGACAACATGAACATTTTTCGAGAGCTTTTGCTACTTTATTTGACGTTGCACTTCTAATGCTTTTAAATTTTATCTTAAATAGAAACAGATGTTATGTCTTTACGTTAATTTAATATTTTCTCACTCTTTCAAACCGCTTTCACGAACGGGTAGAGTAAAATTTAGTAAAATGAGCTGAGTTTAGAGGACCATTCATCATTTTATAGAATAAAGGTACGATCACAGTTCTCGTGGTCCTCGTAAAAAATAATATGCGGAAATTTAGGACACTTTATCTTTCCATTCGTTTAGATTTGTTGAAATTGCTCAGATCCTTTTCATAGTCTAATAGCCTGCAAACGGATTGTCTTGTTTTATAGCTAAGAACACTCTGGATTAAGGGACTTTTCAAACAAAAAAAAAACTAAATTGAAACCGGTTCATCCACCGCCACAACGATGCCACAGACAGACACACAGATAAACACGGTAAACTTATAACTCCCCTCTTTTTGCGTCGGAGTTTAATAACCGTAACCAATACTTCATAGAAATGACATGGGTTTATTTGACTGAAATAAATATTATGGTATATGCAAGTATCGATCGCGACCTGGGACACAACAGACTGTACCAAGTTGATAAACAGTCATTTTAACGTAAATTAACTATTCATTCAGTAATAGCTTAGTCGCGTACAGACTACACTACCTATAAATTAAGTTGACAATTCAAAAAGTGTTTGTGCAAATATAATCGAATAAAGATAAAATTCATTTTATTTAACGAATTTCCAAATTCAAATTTTAAATTCAAACATTTTTATAATTTTTAGTAAACGTCACGAGTCTACTAGTTCGGATAGAAAACCTCACAGTTCTAAGAACAACTGGCGAATAAAAATTTGCGGGACTGAAAACATTGAAATAGCCTGGAGGCGATCACATCTATACATACTTATAAAAAAAAACAAATCTGTACAAAAAATATATTTCATTTTTTTTAACAAAACTTTGTGTAGTGATAATTTATGACTCAAGTCAACATTTAGGATAACTTTTACTACAGGAATATTTTTCTTTTCCACAAAACAATAACTAGCTCTATCGAGTCGTCCTTAGAAATTTACACGACTAACGCTGGCTAAACCTTAAAAAGATACATCAAAACAATTTACATACTAGAAAATTGTAGGTCTTAAAAAGGTTTACAGAAAAATCCACAATATCATATGTCTTGGTCTGCATCTTCTAAGGTACACTCGCAATAACAACATATTTATATTTATTTAAAATGTACCTATTTTTTTTTTAACGTTGGGAAATGCATTTACGCACGACGTGTGGGACTCACCGGCGTAATACAGCCAGTACTACCCACTAAAACCCAACAAAACCTTCCCCCGTCTTAATGGGGCGTCGCAGGATCGCTTACGCATTCAACTACGACGCCCCGACGGCAGGTCTGCCGAAGCAGACCACCACAACCATGGGGTTGCTCCAAGGTCCACTCTGCTATCAGAGAAGTACCAGGAGCAACCCGCATGGTACACCGTCCCCCGAAGAGGGCCACCTCCAACCGCCCACCGAAGTGGACAACCTCCCTGTGCGTTTCTTAGCTTCGCGCCCGGTTGGATTGCCGGGCACTACTGAGCCCCCCCACCACGACAAGGTGAACGCACGTTGGGGGGGATTTAAAATGTACCTATGGACGCACCCAAGCGAAGCGAGAGTAAGTTCTAGTCAATAATAATAATAATCTTTATTGTCCAAACTTTATTGTAAAATCATTTATTGTATAAATCTTTAGCACACAAAATGTCCTTTAATTATTTTTTTATTTAATACAATTTCCCCAATAAATAGACCAAAATACGTATAAACACATACTAACCTGTTTAGTGTTCGTGTTGTAGAAGAAGTTAGCCCAATTGGGATCAGTCTGCATACAACGCAGTACGAACATCTCCCGCAAGCAAAGCTGCATTATCTTGTAGGCAATGTCGTGACGCACTTCGTACTCGGCGTCAAACAACTTGTCAAGTGGTGTTCCGTCAATTAACTCCGTAGTTATTACCTCTTGAGCGCATAACTCGTCTAACAAAGAGAAAATAAAATATAGGCACGCGATAATATAGATAATAATAAGTCTCCCACTATTCCAATATGACCAATAAATTATTCAAATCTATTTGCCACAAACATTAAAAGCAATAAGTTGAAATTCAAGTAATAATAGATTTAAGATAATCGATTTCTTTGTCACTTGGGTATAATGGGTATTTAATTTTCAGTTTTAAAACTTGAAAGGGTCTAGCGGAAAATAAGTATATTATGAAAACTGCACCAGCGTCTAATGAGAAGTTCCTACATCATATTTATTTCTTTATCTATAAAGACCGATTCCGATGTCATTTCAGTCTTCAACCCCTTTAATAATGGAGTAATGGGGGTGAAAACTCCTAACGTTAAAATAGTTTTTTTTTCAAAACTACTCGCGATATCTTGATGAGATTGATACTATTTATTAATGCCTACAAACTAAGTACATATTATATTTTTTTCTAGAATTTTCACTCCATTAAAAATGATAGAAAATAACAATTTTATTTTTCGGGGGTGAATTCTTAACCCAACCCCTAAGGTGACCAATCTAAAAATACATTTTTTTTATTCGTTAGCTACTATATACAAAAATAACAGAACAGTCGAATTGGTGGAACATATTTAAAGAAATAGAATCCTTATAAAAACAAGTTTATTTTTACAAAAACAATAAAAAAAACCAGATACATAACCGTAAAATATAATAGAATTATTTAGAATCGGAGCCTATTCACCATCACTATTTCCCTCAACAGTTGAAGTTACACAAGTTTTTCCAAATATAGAGAGTATTAACTTATCGCCCCCGAAACCGTCTGTATACTAAATTTCATGAAAATCGTTGGAGCCATTTCCGAGATTCAGATGATATATATACACAAGAATTGCTCGTTTAAAGATATAAGATAAATGGAAAGGTATATAGCTAACTAAAAAATGAACAAAAACTGTATTTTTTGGTATCACTTTAGGTGTTTGTGTAAAAATTGAAAAAAATCACGCCCGATAAATAAAATTGTCATTTTCTAACGTTTTTAATAGAGCAAAAATTCTAGAAAAAAAAACAAAATATGTAGTTTATAGACATTTAGGTTATCACCGCGATTACTCTCTTCTAACGGGGTTAGAAGCCTGAAATTAGGTGGGAAAGCGTTATAGATAGAAGGCAAATAAATATAAAGTAAGTCTTTATTAGACGCTGATGCAGTTTTGATATGCTTATTCCGTTAGTCCCTTTCAACGTGCATTATTAAAATGTATTCTGAAAAGTATTTTCGTGGAAATTTATATAAGGAATTTAAAGTTTTAAGCTGTCTACTAGCATACTATCGTGACTAAACGATGCCGATAGCTAAGAAATGATAGAAATCGATTCAAAAGGTTGTCGCTTACGTAAACGGAAGGTATAAATAAGAAATAATAAGTATTCACTTCATGATAGCTTGGCTAGATTCGTTCCACAGCAGACATATAAAAAAATTTAATAAAAATATCATGCTTTATATTTTGATTAGTTTGCATATATACTGCGAGTATATAGGAATTATACCGTTACCTAAATTATTTATTATTGTTATCTATAATATGTAATAACTAATAACATGAAACTGAGAGAGCTTTCTAAGAGGTACAAACAGCAGTGTGCCTTATATTTTACAGGTATGATACATGCATATTATATAAATATTTATAAGTCCCAAATAAAATTATCTTTTGGAAACTAAATCAAAATGTAACAATATATATATTTTTTTAAATAAAGGCTTGAAAATTATAATAAATAATTAAACCACATTCACTGCTTCTTATTTGTTTTATCAAATTTAACTTAAGCGTGCAAATTTATATGGTAAAATATTAATGACATCAAAATATCAAAGTGAACCTGAAAAAACTGGTCCATTCTCGGATATCAATTAGCACTTGAGGTAATTCCATATTTGTTTGAACTTTTCCTACAAAATCGACATATGTAAAAATTATTTATAATACCACAATATCGTTCATTATATGGGATCAAAAATATATATGAAAGCACCAAAACTCCACAATTTTAACTGAACTTTTTACAATTTCCCAACTACGTGTAAGCTTCCTTCAGTCGCTATTATCTGATCGGACGTGTTGACTTGAACAAACTTTGTGTGACCAAAACAAAATATAAAAACTTTACCTTTTTAAAATAAAGTAACTCGGCCAAAAGAACTATACAACACACTCCGTTTATTTACTTTATCAGAATTAATAACGAAATCACGCTACCAAATTAGTTTCCGTGTAAGTGCTGGACTAGTGATAGTACTATTATAATGTTAGCTTCGAATGTATCAAAGAACGTGATAACAATTGGTCGCAATTCAATTAAATCTTTGGCATAAAATTCGTCCTTTCAAAACCAAATCGAAAACTTTTGTTTGAGGAATAGATATTATCACGTGATGATGCACGTCTGATGAAAGCGCACGTAGAAAAGAAAGTTTAGTATATAAAGTGAAAAAAAAAACATATCATTTACGCAGCACTCATGCACGCAGCAGCGTAAAACGCACCACTATAGTATGTTATTTAATCAAAAATCTCCGCATTACTTCAACTAAAGTTAACACATAAATAAATTAAGTTGTTCAGAAATCTTTATACTCAGAATGCCTCTACTGACTGTACAGGAAATTTTACGAGCATTTATTTGCTGCACAGGAAACTAAACTTTGGAATAATTTAACACTTTATATTAAACGCTCAAAAACCTTATTTTTGATATTTTTTTTCGAATTATCAATTTGATTGCATTCAATAAAGCCTTCAATAGAATACAACAAAAAACAAAATCAAAGTAATCTTTTTAAAATAGGTTTACAAATAACAACTATTACGGCCAATTTAGTTGACCGATTTATAAAAAAATGTAAAATAATATTTAAATACGATGGATGGTAAGGTAAAAAAATGGTGATTTTCGAAAGCATTTTTAAAATGGAGTCGTAACTTACCTATTACAGATGGCACAAAGTATTCAGGGTATGGAGCCAACAGTTGCTTGAACTTCTTCGTACATTCCGCTTCCCGGATGTAATCTACTTCCCAAGCTAGTTCTTTTTTAGCAACTTCGACTACGTTGTCAATGAACATTCCTTTTGGGAACATGTTCCAAACCTGATGCAAGGAATTACATACTTATATGTAACATTAATATGTTAAATATATACACTATACTAACTATATACACTATATCTATATACATTATATCTATATAGTATATGCACTGGTTGTCGGCCACAACGGAGCCGTTGCTCCACCCGCGTGTTAAAACCAAAAAATTTTATATCTTCACTATGACCTCTTTTTTACACGAGATTACGGTCTGAAGATTAACACACAAACAATCGTCGAAAATTATTATTTATTTTAGGGCTCTATTAAAAAAACGCTTATTTGCTTATTAAAGAATAAAATAATTAAACTAATCCTAATGGTAGGTACTATGATATATGTTTTTTTTAATTTAGCTATATGACTTAGAACTATTTGATTCGAGCATTTCGTTATTATTAAGTTTCGCCTGACAGAGAATTTTTAACGTTTTCTGCAGTGTTAACCTTTTAGAAGAAATTTTTAAAATGATGGCATACTAAATCAAAATTTATATTCCTTAAAATATTCCGGTATTAGTTATACATAAGCCACTCACTATCAAAGTACCCACTATGCGAGTGTATAGGTATAGCAAGGCTTTGACCACATTTCTGCTTTATTTCATAAAATAACATGTTAGTATATTGGCAGAACTTTTACTTCATCTTTAGACTCTACAATTTCCAAGGAATCTTCATAATACAAAGTTACCGTGCATTCATGTCATTTAAATTAGCGTCTTCTGTTACAGCAATATGGATGAAAATGTCTCGTGTCATTTTGCATTACATTCTTTACATGAGTAAGCAAAGTGCGCTTGTACATTTACCGCATCGCTGACTCATCTGATTATTTACTTATAATAAAACAACATCGGAGTTTGTACATTGATTTTTTTTAACGGACAGCGTTAGGTTTGAATTATTTTAGCAAGGAAGAATTCGAGCAGAGATCAAGCTTTTGAATTATATTTGACTGTAAATGATGTCTCTCTAGACTTTCGCGTCACGTAAATGTCTAAATCGATTAAAATGAAACTATTTATAATCAATAAAATATGAGGCAAAAACATTGATAAATATTATTTCAACTAAACACAATGAAACATTACTATTTAGAGTAACAGAAATGTGACATAAAGCAAAGCAAGCAAAACCTAAAAACATTACCGCAAAATATTTATCCTATCCATGTTTTTGTCCTACCACAATATACCTTTTTCGTTTTTCCCATCTTAAAACAATAATATTCCCGAGGCATTCATTATTCAGGCAGGGGGCCAGCTATAAAAAAAACTGCCAAAACCTCAAAGCAGTATGAGTATTGAGTAGTACAAAAAGTCACATTGCACCGACCACAGATAAAATTGGGACAAGTGTAGGAAAAAGAAGAAGAAGACTCATGAGTGTAACAATACCTTCAGAACTCCCACGAGGTTGTCTATGTCACTGTTGATACCCTTCGCGACGCCCGGGTACTGCACCTTGATGGCCACTTCCCGTCCGTTGTGCAACACTGCTTGATGCACTTGACCTACGGAAATTATATATAATTCGCGACTCACACTCTCTTCGCTTGGTCCACACGTACGTTTTAATTTTTTTGAGGGCAACCCTAATTCTTTTTCTAAAATAAAAGTAGCCCATGTCACGCCCTATAATATCAGTTATCTTCCAGTGAAAGTTTCGTCAAAATCAGTCCAGCCGTTTCAGAGATTATCCGGAACAAACAGACAGACAAAAATTTAAAAAATGTGTTTTTCTTTTATAAGAAAAAAGTATCCTATATGTTGACCCGGATAACCAGCTATCACCATACCAAATTTCATCAAAATCCCTCCAGTGGTTTCTCTGTGATGCGGTAACAGACAGACAGACAGAGAAACAGACCGACAGACAGACAGACAGACAGACAGACAGACAGACAGACAAAAATTCTAAAAACTATAGATTCGGCCTCTGTATCAATAACAATGTTTATTTCAATAAGAATTTCCAAAAAAATATTTAATGTACAGATTCGGGTTAGTAACAATTTTATTATATGTATAATAAAACTAACGAATTACACGCGCTTCGCTCGGGTGTCCCTAGATATGTTTTATAGACATAAAAATAGTTATTGTGACATGTGGCATACTTTAGGAGGTAGACACATGCTATCGTGGACCTTTCTATAGACCTCTTTAAGACCTATAATTTTCTAGTACATTTTTTTGATGTATCTCTAAAGGTTAAGCCATTGTTAGCCTTATAATCATACGAAAACAGTTTTTTTGAGAAAATACCGTTTAGGCTCAGTCATTTTGTACAAAATATTCATAAATTATATACGCAAACCTTTCTAATTTTTCCCACTTTCTATTAGTGAAAACCGTATTAAAATCCGTTGCTTGGTTTAGAAAAAATAAGCGGATAAACAGACAGACGCAGACAGCGACTTTGTTTTATATTATGTACATACATCAGTCTAACAAAAAGTTCATGTCAACAATCCTCATCCATAAGGACATATTGTTTATGACACCCTTATTGGCCAGCTAGTATAGAGAAAATAACAAATATCTTACCAATAGATGCAGCCGCAAACGGTTGTTCTTCAAAATGTTGGATTAGACTCCGCCAGTCCGGACCCAGCTGTGAGCTCATGACCTTCTCCACTTGCCACGTCGGCATGAAGTCGGCCGACTGGCGAACCCTGTCGAATATACGTTGCAAGTCCGAAGGGATAACTGAGTCGTCTTGTATACTCAATAACTGACCCAGTTTTAAAGCGGCACCTGTAAGACATTTTATGTAAAAGATATCGCTAGTATACTTCTCTCATACATATATTCTATTATAATAATATGTAGGATAACAAAATGTTTATTATATCGAGCAAATAAAGAATGGGAGAGACCAAATTATCTATGTCTTTGTTAAATTGTTTAATTTTACAACCTTTGTGATTTTCAATAATTATTACAATATTTACATTTACATACAATTATTATTTATTATTGCATATTAAATATTTTATCAATTTGTACATTTAGTGTTAAAACAACCAAAAATGATTTTAAATTACATCTACAACATGTATTTTTTATATCATGTATTACCCAAATAGAATTAACAGAAACATCTAATTTTATAGCAATATTTTTTAATTGCTACTTTAGCCAATGTGCTGACCATTTGTAAGCCCATTTTTTATTTGTGTAACATATTACATAAACCTAAATTAAATAAATAGGTAAATACAGTGTAACCTCTATATAACAAACTTCTATTTAACAAAAAACTCCTTAAAACGTAGACATTGTTAAGATTTATTTGGTTTACTCTCTTAATAGTAAAAGAATAAATCATTACTTAAACTCCAATAAACATTAATTCCACTGACCTTCAAATATAATACCAACATAGTCCTAAACCTTTTGTACCCACAATTCATAGAAATGTGTTCATTGTTTATTGAGATTGTTTAGCACATGTTTATATACCATACTTCTCTATTACCGTCCTTTTTGTTATAATATTCTTAATTGAATTCAATTTTTGAACTGTAAGATATACCTATATGTGTATATATATACATAACACTTTTTCGTCAATATATATATATTGACGAAAAAGTGTCGTTAATTTGTGCGATAGAAAAGGAGGGAAAATATTGGCAAAATAAAAAACGACAAACAAAGTTAGTAGATTATAATTTTGATATGTTAATAAAGTATGTACTAAATTCTATGTTTATTGTTGTTTTCCTCTACTCTCCGTTTAATGAAAACTCTTTATGACGTAAAAAAATACTTGGTCCCTTCAATTTCGCTATATAGGGATTACACTGTATCTTTACTCTTATATTATTCACACTGACCTCTAACTTTGCAAAGGGTGTCCACAATCCTTTCTGCATTTGCAGGAGACAGGAATGCATTAGATGAATCATCTACTTTCCCTGTAACTGATTGTAGTGTGTTTCTTGCATATTGGGCAACTGTACCGACGCCCAGACCCGCTGCAAGGGATCCAAAAGAAAACATCCTCCCAATGCGGGATGATGGGACCACCCGGGCTTTGGAGTTCTCACTAAGCTTTATCATAAAAAACATAATATGTGAGAAACACAATGATGTACTAATATAGCTTTTATGAATGTAATATTTATAGATTTTAAATGAAAAATGTGTAAAGTAGAAAATTTAGTAAATGTATAAAGGAAAACTTAATTAAATTTCTAGAATAATGTAACATACTCGGTATTGTTGGATAAAAATAATGCAGAGATAAACTTGATAATGATGAAATACTTACAGAAACTTTTAATTTCTTTCTTGCAACTGGCTTTGGAACTGATTTGCTTGAGCTTGGCTCCATATTTGGTAAAGGAACTACAGTAACTTTGAGATTATCTTCTTTCTTCTCAGTGGGTTTAACTACAGAAATAGTTTGGATAGGTTCTACCTTTTGCTTAGCCTCAATAATTTCTGCAGCAGCTGGAGTGGGAGATGTAGAGGCTATAATTTTTTTCTGAGTTTGCTTCAAGCTATCAAACGTTTCATTGAATTGCTTGTTCAGGATTTCTATATCTTCTTGTAATTGTGAATCCATTGCTGTTACACTTTCTATATTAGTGTTGTTGTTAAAATTATGCATAGAAACAAATTGCCTGATTCCATGCAAAACCACCATAGCTCTCTCAAAAGCTTCATTAATAGCATTTTTGTTAGGCTTCAAAGTTGAAAGCGAGTTAATTGAGCAGTTTTGAAAAGATTGTCGGAAGCTAGAATTATTCAAAATTAGTTTTGTGTTTTCCTGTTGCAGTTTAGCAGCTGCATCTATTACCTGACGAAGACCTCTCATAACACCTATGAAGTCATTAATATGTGACATTTCCTGAAAGATTATGGTAAGTGTTATGTTCATCTTACCCAAGTTTAATAATTAACATAATACGCATGACTTGGTGGTTAATAGTTATTTTACAGAAGAGTCAATGTAAGTAAGTCAGAAGAGTAACTTCAATGATTCTTGAAATTTGAATATTTTATTATGAAATACCAACTTATCTTACACCTTATATTATTTTGTGTGGAAAACAAAGATCTAGCCAGTTTTTGTAGTACAAATTGCACATCATTAATAGCAGTTATAAATAGAATTGATCATGGCATGTTAGTACACTGCTGTTTTAGCATTGCTATTACTTCCTATTGCATAACATTTTGAGGTCGTATGATTTATAAAAAAACATATTGCAAAATAAATTAACAATTATTTGGAAGGGTACAGTAGTAGTTTTTAACATATAATGCATTATATATTTACTATTTTTATTCCCTTTCGCCAGTTTGTAACCTCAAGATAAGTTTTATTTATAATATTAATAATAAAAATATCGTACCTTGTAAATATTTTAAAAATAGCCTTTAGTTAAAAGGAATAATAATTTACAAATATTATACAGTGATGTTAGCTATATAATTTTATTAAAGTTATGGAAAAGTTGTTTTCATCATTTGTAATATTGAAAATTAGTGTCAGAATTCAGAAATAATTTCAAATGTCATTGTCATCAGTCACATTAACAGTGTGTTTTGACAGCATGGATGACTAATGACAGGCTTCTGTCTCGAGTCTGCAAATGTAAAACAATATCGATGCGTGCTAAGATAAATTGCGAAGATTTCTAGAAAAGAGGGCGCTACACGTATTATCTATTTACATTTAGTCGTAGGTTAAGCAATTTATATCTCTTTTGTACCTGGTTTTTCGTGTATTATGTTCGCATCTTACCTGTGCAATGTATTGTACCTGGAAGTTAGACCAGCTAACGAAAGAATTGAGAAGGAGAAATGAATCCTCTGGTGGTCATGACTGACGATCAACACATAGTGTAAACTGTTGGTCGTAGTTACGTGGAATTTGTAGGATGTATTCCTTATATAATGTAGGCATTCGATAAGAAAGGATTTTTAGAAATTCTTTTCCTAACTGGATAAAATAGGGGATTAAAGACTGTATTTTTCAAAAAATTATCTCTTCAAGGGGTAAAAGAGGTTAATAGAGTTTATATGAGCTAGTATAGTATTAAATGATCTGTGATATGAGTGAAGAATTCTTTATGTTCAGAATTTCTTGAAACTTGGTATTAGTAATCTTAAATACAATTAAATAAATACATGTTTTAGCATTTTTCGAAATTTAACCCCCATATTGGGGTAAAATGGAGGATGAAAGTTTGTATGAAACTCTGTAATTAATATGTAAAAAAGTACAAAAATAAAAAAAAATATTTCCCTGTAGACGATTTGACAGTTTTATCGTCCCATTCTGTAAAATGATGTCCACATAGCTTTAATTATAAAGATTGTGATTTCGGCAATTTTGCTTTAGTCCACAATTTCTTCAGTTTTTGTCTTTTGGAAACAAATTATATCCATTTTCTTTGCATCCTGGCACTGCATAACTTGTCATTTTAATTAAATTAATTTTAAATAAAATGAAAATAATCCATCCACGATATAGTATTACAATATACTGAGGGTTATAGTGATCGCGACATCTGGCGGGAGAAAAAGACAAAGTTCTTCCCAATTGATCATTCATCATTTAAAAGAGCGCACTCTTAAATTGTGCTCGAAATTCGAATTTTGATGAAAAAATTGAAATTTCTAAGAACGATGGAACCAGTTATTGTGTTTTCCCGTGGTAATTAAAGATTTTCCCGTAGTAAAAGGTATCCTGAATGTTGGCCGGAATAATAAGTTATCACTACACAAAATTTGGTTAAAATCGGTCCAGTACTTTTTGCGTGAAACCTGCACACATTAGCGGCCATACAGACAAAATTTTTAATAAGTATTAACTTTAGTTTTGTTTGGGTAGTGGTTACATTCACTTTGGTTTTGGGGCCTATATTCTGTACACAATACTTTAGTCATTGTTTTTATAAATATTTCATGTACAGATTTTGCTAAGTTCCTGTTTTATTATATCTATAGATAATCTCAATTTAATAACATTACTATTATAAATTTGAAAGTGTGTTTATTTGTTCTTTTATGTCGAAACAGACATATTGGCGTGATTTTTTGTGCGATGATTCACGATAATACTGCTACTAATAGTAAAAGTACTAATAATAAAAGTTACTAATAGTAAGAGGGCTATAAACTCATAGAGTGATATACTTAAGCCTGGGGTCGACTACAGCCGAAACGCCTCGAATCGAGTCGAATTTATTCCTTGTGCGTCCATCTCAGCCAAATCGAAACGAATTGCTCATTTATCGCATCTCTTCAGCAAAGTAGGTCATGAATGCACTCCGATCTTCTTAACTCTAAAATGTAGTATAAGCCTACACAGATAAATAAAATTGAAGTATTTGTTTGTACTCTCAAAATAACAGCTTATTACTACACATGAAACTATATACGGTACTTATCAGAAAAACACAATTTTTAAATTTTTGTCTGTCTGTTTGTCCTCGCTAATCTCCGAAACGGTTAGACAGATTTTGACGAGACTTTCACTAGTAGATACCTGATGTTATAAGGAGTAATTTAGGATATTTTTATAATAGAAAAAGAATTACGGTTCCGCTAAAAAAACGTACCTAGGGACGAATCCGAGCGAAGCGCGGGTAAATCTCTAGTATACAGTATAATAGTATAGTTTAATAATAAAATATAATAGTTACTTTACGCGAAACATAGGTACTTTTTAAAAAAATACAACAAACTCGCCGGTGCGCATGCGATTCCCCGCGTCGATTAAGGTGCGCCGAATCAAGTCGAAACGCGTGACGCGTCGTGGCGTCGCCAAGGAAATTCGCCTGACATTTCGGAGATTTCATTCGGCGCGCCGCTATATACCAATGTACTCTGTGCGCGCCGCGAATCGTCGCTAATGGACGCAGTTATCTATACATATAATAAACTTGTAACTAAGCCGAATCTGTACATGAAATATTTATAAAAACAATGACTAAAGTATATTTTTTGGAAAATCTTATTGAAATAGACATTATTTTCGATATAGAGGCCGAATCTATAGTTTTTCGAATTTTTGTCTGTCTGTTACGGCATCACAGAAAAACCACTGGAGGGATTTTGATGAAATTTGGTATGGTGATAGCTGGCTATCCAGGTCAACATATAGGATACTTTATACCACGGGAAAATATCTCATTTCTGAGAAAAAATACAAAAACTGCAATGTAAGGGTATACTAAATACTAATATATAAAGACTAAGAATTTGATTTTTGCTTATCTGAACGCGGGCGGAGCCGCGGGAAATGCTAGTAGTAAATATATAGGAGGCGAATTTCTGCGGTTCGATTCGCCTCGACTCGACGCCCTAGTGGACGCCAGGCATTACACTACTTTTTGCCCCGGGAGATTATCTCACTCCCACAGGAAAACAGTAAACACGCTATAATATAACCCACAACAGTTTATTATACCTAGGTTACAGCACTGGCAATTTTATCAAGAACCTTTGTCTTAATAAATAAAGATAAATAGATAGTTCTACATTCCCTAAATTATTCATTATTACTAATAAGTACTTGAATCATTACCATTCTAAAAAATGACATAATATTACAAAATTATATACATATTGTATAATGTAATGCAAGGTAAATAAAAGTTGTTCATTTTGTAGAATTTATTTAATTCTTACACCAATTAGACATATCTATTCCAATATCATGACAAAAATACATTGAATAATATTAATAAAATAGTACATTTCTGTAAATTTCATAGACATAATTGGATTTTAAAGAATTTAGGTATTTATATGGTAGCATTTCATTACAAGTTTAGTTCACTAAGCTATCATTATTATTAACATTAGGAAAAATGCGCAGGTTCAAATTTTTAGTTAACAGTTTGAGTAATATATTATAGGGACTAAAATTTACATGCTACACATCAATTCTAACTCTAACAGTAATAGGTAATACTGTTCTGAATATAATTATCATTATAGTTTCAATGAAGTACTATGTACTTATCTTAGTAGTAGTTTAAAATATAGAGCATTTTGATTAACTGCTATGATTAATATATAATATAAATTGTCTCTTTTTTTATATAATCAACTTATTATAATCAACTTTTTTGTTAATGATGAATTTTCTTATAATTAATTATCCAATTTATTTTTGGAACTCATGATACAGGACTGTATCTTTTATTTTAATATAAATCAATCCATCAGTTAATCAGTATAGTGTTCATTATTGCAATGAAGTGGTCATCTGGTAATGGCATGCAGTGTGTTGACCGGAAGTCACGCATGTATCTGGAAATCTTTAATAATTTTCTCTTATTAATGCGAAAAACCTTTTATAATTGTGTTTTAAGTAAAATAAGCCAGCACAATCTAAATTGCATATTTACCAAGGGTAAAATTTCACGTTTAATTGCAGGCAGCTCACTTCTTGATAAAACAATCCGCTGTTGATCAGACAGAGCAACACAAGCCTCCAGGGTCTCCATAACAGGCTTCTCTGTGTCCATTTCAAAGAGATCGGGGTGTCGCAGTTCCAACAATTTGATAAGCAAAAAGTTGCCACGGTTTGTTGCTAGCTGGCCTGGTCTAAATTTATGGATGAAAAATATAATTAAAAAATTATAATTTTTGATTTTCTTCCAATTAATAACTTAAATTATATTAACTTTAAAGGTATGTTACCTAATACATATTACTTCATCTTCAGTACGTCGTACCAACTGAATAGGTCCAGTATACTTAACCAACATATTTCCTATATTCAGATCAACATAGGAACGTACAACTTCCTTTACAAGTAATTTCCACGATTTGGGCATCTGATTTTCAGCCAGTGGTAACAAGTCATCAAAACAAGCATCCAAAATCTAAAATGAAATATCATTTTAATATTCATTGTTTTTACTTTAGAAGAAATCTGTTTATGTCCAATAATCTCTTACCAATCCTTTAACGTCCGGATAATTGATAGCAGCCCACGCAGCTGTATAACCACCAATGCTCCAACCAAATAAAATGATATCTTCTACCTCATATTCCAGTTCATTAATAGCATATTGCATAATAGCATCTATAGCATTTTGTTCTTGGCGAGGAAATGGAACTCCCTAAAATTAATTGAAAGCCAGTCAGGATATCATATCAGATAGGATTAGATGTCATAATAATTAATTATAATAAAAACATAAATAAACTTTGCCCTTACTGTACTCCCACCAAATCCAGGGTGATTCCAGCCTATAGCAGAGTATCCAGTTTTGATTGGGTTAGTCATGATTCCAATTTCATAAAAGCCAGAATTTCCCTCACAGCAAACAACTAATATTCTGCCCTTTGAAGAATCAAGTCTATTATCAACAAACATAGTATCTATGACATTGCCATCACAAGTAATGATCTTTGATCTTTTTCCATTATATGTTTCAACTAGATTTGTTCTTCCTTCTAACAAAGGGAGCCCTAAAAAGGAAAGTTTACTTTAAGACTCAATTTTATGAAACATAATATAATAACGAAATATGAGCTCAGTAAACTTACACAACATGTTTTGTATTATACTAAGAGTGCCTGGATAGATGAGTCGCAGGGCAAATGTATGGATAGCAACATATGCTAGCAACTGAACGGTGACTTTTTGATAATGTGGCAAATCTGGATTAGCACATTGACTAAATGGTTTATTTTCAAGCCAGGTTGAACTGAAAAATAAATATTACTATACCACATTATGCATTGGATTAGATGCTATAAGTTATGATTTTAGACCAATTACCTTGGTACCTGTACCATAGTATAAGAAGATGGCCAAGCATAAAAATCAAAATCATATTTCCTAATGCTTTCTATATATGGCCTCATATCAGTAATAGGTCTGTAAAGAGTGTCAAGAAATTCTACATAAATTGGATTAGAAGCCCTTCCGAAAGCTCTCAATAAATAGGAGAATGCTAAGAAGCATCCAAATCCACCAAAAGCACAGGCAAAAAATTGTATCTCATCCCATGATAAGAACCCTCTTTTGTATATGTACATGCAAATAAATGGAGATGTGTAAAATCCAACATTAATCAATGTTTGTGCCTGAAACAAAATCCATTTTTAGATTGCTGTTTTTTGTCACCAATTGTTATGTTCAAAAAGATAATGCTCATCTTACAGTTGATATGATCTGGTTAGCCAATTTTTCTACTCCTTGTGGCTCATATACACCCTGCAAAAATAATAATCAAATGTAAATGTTGAATATTTAATGCTCACAAAATCCTTTATTTACTCTTAGCTTATATTGAGTAGCCGCAGCGCTGGATTTACACTAGGGGCATTCGGGCCTAGTGCCCAGGGCGGCAAATTTTTAGGGGCGGGAAAATTCGAAGGGTGGGATTTTTTTTTCGCGTTATCGAAAATGCTTTTTTTATTTTAATAAATGATCAAATTCCAAAAAATGAATAATTAAATAATTACTCATATATTTTTGAAAAATTTAAATCCTGTATAAATTATTTCTTTGGAATAAAAAATAAATAAAAAGAAAGCTTTATCGAAACTACCTTATAAGCAAAATTTCAATAATAAGGTGCATTTTTTACTCTACCCAGGGGCGGCGCTAAGGTTAAATCCGGCCCTGTGAGTAGGTGTGTTTAACTTTATTGTACATTCTTAATTTTAAATATTTTGTCAGTAATATTATATTACAATTTCATAATAATTAAAGTAAAAATAAATTGAATTCTTGATGAATATTATTATTACACACAATGTTGTTTAAGTATAATACCTGCAATGGCTGGAAAGTGGAGTGGGTTGGGTAGGGATGCTCTGGGGTGAAAATCAATACAGCAGAGGGGTTTTCTATTTTTAGCTTGGTGCATAGGCTTTTTGTTCGGGAAAACATGCGCATAAAATTTTTTGATGATGACACGCAATATTTAAAGCGTTATTTTTTGTAATTTTAATAATACTCACAAAAAATAAAATTTAACAAATAACAAGTAACTTACCACTCCTGGGCCCTGGCCATAAATACGATATAAGCGCGGAGAAAATATACACTGCATAATTAATCTCATCATTTTGAATAGCTTATTATTAATTTATTTGAATAAAAAATAAAATAAATATTGGTATGTATTAAAAAATATTGAATACAATTTTTTTTAAATTAAAGTTAATATTTCAATCGATAGGTATTTTTTCTCACTAAACAGACACTTTTTTGTAAAATAGACTTTAAACTATGACTATTGTATTTTAAAATAATTTATTCAATGCAATAGGTAAATTTCGCCAGCAAAACTCTTTCATTGCTGATGAGATACTGAAATTGTCTATGGCTACAGGTAGCTAATATGAAAATAATCAATAAAATGCACTAAAACATTATTTATTCTCTATGCTCCATGAAAAAGAGATGAAGACAAGTACGATGCATCTAACCAGCATAAAGAAATTACTTTTTATATTAACATTCATATACATAAGTTCGTAATAGGTATAAAGAAAAAAACATATAGCTACATCTACTTACGTATAACCATAGTTAAAAATCAAGTATTATTTTCTCAGAGGTTAGATATTTTCTTGTAATAAAAATTATACTGTATATTGACCCGGATAACCAGCTATCATCATACCAAATTTCATCAAATTAGATTATTTCAATAACATTTGCCAAAATATATTTAATGTACAGATTCGGCTCAGAATTATATAATGTATGCGTTTTAAGTTTAGTATAGATTTCTCAGAGATAAGATATTTTCCCGCAGTAAAAAGGATCCTATATGTTTACCCGGACAACCGGCTATCATCATACTCATCAAAATCCTGTCCAGTGGTTTTGTCGTGATTCGTTCACAGACAGAATGACAGACAGGCAGACAGACAAAAATTCTAAAAACTATAGATTTAACTATATGAATAAGATTGTTCAAAAAATATGTAATGTGTAGATTCGGCTCAGAATTTTATTTTATGCTTATACTACATACATACTACATACATTATAAGTTTATGGCTGGGGTACACTGAAACTTATTTCCGATAGTTTCTAGTGTACTCGTATCACAACTCGCAAGCACGAGATATGATAAACATGCAAGTACCTTTCTACAATCCCGGTTAACTCCTAAATAAAAGTTATCTTTAAATATTTTAGAAATGTGTTATTAAACGGGATGAATAAATTTCCTTTTTTACAAAAAAAAGGGTTAGGGAGTTAGGATATTTTTCTAATGGTAAATTTTTTTATAGTGGCAGTGATGATTTTCTCAGTATGATGCAAGTTTTGGAAATGCCACACCTAGATAATTTTCTTTAGAGTTCCGTAGCTAAAAGGCAAAAATGAAATCGTTATAATTTTTCCGTCCGTTAGTCTGTTCTTATGTCACAGTAAAATTCTCAGAGACTATTGGAGCTTTATTGCTGAAAGATAGGTAGGTATAAATGTCAATTGCTAGACAATTCGGTCAAATTATACAAAAGGGGTTCATCTTCACGAAAGAAAAAATGAGACCACACGTGTTGAGCATGAGGGTCTAGGTTATTTGTAGCTCCAAATGTTGCCCCTATTTTGCGCCGCCTGAAGCGGCCGCCTCTGTCTCATAACACCGCACGGTTCTCGCGGCAGTGATAGCCCTAGTGAAGCGAGTTTATATCCCGAGTGTTTCATCTTTAATATTTTGCGAATTATTTTAGAAATGATTACCCCTTGCCTTACCTAATTAAGAAAAACATCGTGAGGAAGCCTATATGTCTGAGAAAATCTAGTGACTTTTTGAAAGACGTGAAATCAGCCAACCGACACTTAGCCAGCTTGGTGGACCAACAGTGAGACGTCAAAAAGGCTGAATACATAAAATTTTACCTTTGCCAGATTAACCTCAAACGGATGGAGGCTTAGTAACTTTACTAAGATTCAATAATCTAACAGACGCACGTGCGTGCGTGTGCGCACTTGCACACATCACACTTATGAAGAAGATAGTAATTACGGAATTTTACACACTACCCTGTTGAAAAAAACCATTAGGATCCCATCAAAAGCAACAAAAGCCACATAAAAACCAATAAATAGGTATGTATTGGTTTCTATGTGGCTTTTGTCGCTTTTGATGGGATCCTATTGGAGTTTTTAAATAGGGTACTTTAACTAATTTAATAGTTTCAAAAGACACGTTGAAACGTAGGAATAGAGATATTAAAAAAAAAACAATTTCAAACATTTGGAAATTTCGGTTCATGTACATAAAACTTTATAAATTTGCTTAGTAAAATGTCAAAACAAAGGCTGGTAATTTTTTATAATCTCGTATTCTGAGATTATATAATAGCCTCTACGCATTGGTCTCATCTGGTGTGATCCTTACATACTCATAATTTTCTCATAATAATCTTCGTGGTCTGTGCGTTTATTGTGTGTGGTTTACTTATAAATAACAAGACTTAAGCACTCTGTGGCAAGTGTAGTGAGTAGTGACTGACAAATACCTACTTATGAGTTTTGTCATCCATGTACCTACTTTTCAAGATATTTATTTCACAAACTAAATATTTTATTATCATATTAAAAATTAATATCAATATATCTTAAGGTTTTACCAAATATTACTCTAATATATTAACGTCATATAGTCATGAAAAATGATTGCTGTTGTGGCAAAAGCTATTTTTGTTATCCTTGTTATCGCACCGTCTGCTACTCCCAGAATACACAAGCTACCTCTTACGGTAAATATTTATAAAACTTCACTAAATTAAAACAATTGCACGATTAATATTGTTACAATTGTGTGTTATTTTCAAACGTTAATGATTTCCTTCTAGTTTATAATGTTTATTATTATCAATTTTATCAATATTAACATAAAAAAATACCTACAAAAATTGAACCAATTACTTTTAACTTTTATGCCAGTAATTTCAATAATTTTGTTTTCAGGATGATGAACGACATTATGTTGATCTTACAACCTTTGGGTTCTTCCAAGGAGGTATTCTAGATGTACATATGATCAATTTTATGTTACCAACTGGACCTGTAAATGGAGAGGTATATGATATTATTTTGTTTAACGCTAATACTCTACTACTCTAATTATCAATTGAAAATAATAAATATTTTAATCTAGTGATTCACCTTTGCTTCACTTAAGTTTGTTTGGTGTAGGTATGTTTAAATGGTTACTATGGAATAGATAGACTATATTGTAATGTGTATTTCCATGGGAATGAGATAATCTTCTGTGGTAAAAAGTATGTCATCTCCAGCTCTCCTCCACATCAAAAATCATGCCACTCTTTGCTTTCATAATTATAGTGTGTTTTTTCAAAAATTTCAATGATAAACACATTGAAATTTTACCAATTTTCTGTTTTCATAAGAACTTTACTCGGACTATGACAAATATTTGAAAAAAAAAAATTGCGGAACTGTTCCATTACATTACAATATTTTTTAGCTTTAAACATTTTTATAATTTTAATTATAATTGTATGTGGAAAATTATTTATTTAATTTTTGCTATTATTTTTATTAAATATAAATATTAAAAATATAAAAATAAAAATAATAGCAAAAATTAAATAAATAATTTTCCATATTCAATTATAATTAAAATTATAAAAATGTTTGAAGCTAAAAAATATTGTAATGTATTTGGTGCAATTTTCATTTTGTTAATTGTGGGTAGGCTGTCTGTAACAACTATACCTTCAAGACATGTAACACCTCAGTCTCTCCCGTGAACATGGATGCTGTAAAGCATTCGAAACGTCGGGAACCAAAAATCAAAATAAATCCGCGAAATAATCCGAAAAGATAGTTTTATTTAATAATACATACATAATGTTTATAACAATTATGATTATATTTTCAATTAACGTGAACAAAACTTGCTTGACTCCTAAATATTTTTTCTTGTAGTATGGATTCACATTAGATCGTACTGTGAATGATGCTATCAATCCTTACCTTGAGGTGCACTCGGATACATGTATTCTTAAAGGAGTAGAAAAAAGCAGTACACTACTTTCACCACATCATCCTGCAATAGTTTTTTTGAAGATGGACTTTAAAAATTTAAGGTATTTATTGTACACACAGTCAGTTATTGCTAAGTATATATATTTTTAATGCATCTATTTTTTTCAATAATCTTATACACCCTAAAATAAAAATTAATATACACAAATTGAGACATTCTGCTAAAATAACATTATTTTATTATTTATTATAGCTATTTATTTCAGTAATTGACAACATAATATGCATTGCTAGTAATTTGAATTATTAATAATATTTTTTAGATAAGAAACTTTGTCTTATATCTACGCATAGCGAGTATACTTACCATATTAGATTTACACTGAAAAATTAGCTTTGTTTAAGTTCAGAGTGTGACATTTGCTTATAGTCTAGCAAGGTGAATTCATTCATTTTGCTTTTCTTATTTTAAAGTGATCTAATCTTGTCAAATTGAGGTGATAATATAAGTATAATGTAACAAACATTTCTAAGAAGAGTTTTATTAATATCTTTATGTTAAATACATTTAATCCATCAAAAAAAGGCAAATCAATAAATCTTATATTTTTAACATCCAGATGTAAAATATATGTATTTTAAGCTTTCATCATTTTTGTCTTTTATCAGAAGCGAATTGTGATTTATTAGTGTATTGCATCATTGCATTGCCTTTTTATTTCCAAAGAGTTTTCTTAAATGAAGAACATGCTACATTCATTTATTTTCTTTGCATTAGCGAATATTAGTAAATTATTATTAGATAACTTGTATTTTTGCAAACATACTATTTAGATTTTAGAACATAGCCTAGCATTGCTTATGAGCTTATGATTAGCTGCGCGATACTGAATCCAAAAATTGTTAAAATATTTATGTATGCCTGTTTGTCTGTTTGTATCCTTATCTAGTTGGATTATTATTTGTATAAAATTATATACTCTCTTATGTATTACAACTTAGCCATTTGCATAAGATGGAACCAGGGGTATAAAAAATTTCTAAAATTTATGCGAATTCTTCACAATTTTTAGTTTATGGGTATTTTTCGCTGTTTTATTTGGTTCCCAACGTTTCGAATGCTTTTCAGCAAACGATGTTTGAAATAAACAATAAATCAAAATGTAAAATACCGAACAATTCACGAAAAAAATACCGACAAACAGATGAGCATAACTTCCTCCTTTCTAGAATCGGATAAAAGATAAAAATAATAATTTTATTTGCCAAAGTTATAAGTTGAATCCTTGAAACTATTGACGGATCGATTGAGTTATGTTTATATTTCAGACTTTGATAGACTCCGTTACTAATATTATATATCATCATTATCAATCAATAGATTAATATATCCAATGCTGTTGAAGTCAATTTTTATTCTATTTAAACTGATTAGCTTCAAATGGAAGAGATACTTAATTCCCTTGTATGTTTTTGTGTGCATGTTACGTGACTTTTGTTGTGATATTATATTTTAAACCGATTTTCATACATATTTTTTTTAAATAACTTATTCACAATCACTTCTTTTTAAATATAATTAAATTATTCTTTTGGAATATTGAGTATCGATTGAAATAATAAATTTACAATGTTGGAATTGCCGCCGTCGTTCTCGTATGTCGTAATTATTTTTACAAAAAAATAATAATAGTAGCTTACAAAGTTTCTATCGCGATTTACGAGTGAACGACGGACAGGCATTTATTACTTACTATGTGACTTATTATTTATATTGTTTTTAGAATAAACATAACTTGTGAAGGTGAAGTGACAGCGCTTCATTTGTACCAGAATCGATCAATGATACCCATCGATAGGACAAAGAGGCATTCGCAATATATGTTTGTTAATAGACGGAGGCGATCTACTGATGTGAATGGTATGTTTTATATTATTATAGGAGCTCCTATACACTGTCATACATGTCCTATGCATATCCTATTAGATGTGCCGATTCCATAGTTTAGTGGAAGTTATATTTGGTGTGCAGATTAGTGTAGTAGTGGCCTGATATATATATTAACACCTCCAGGTAAATTTCTAAGAAATCTATTGTTAACTGTAACGCCGGCGTGTCCGCGGTCGTAGAGGGATTAATATGATGATATTACATATTTGCCTTCAAATTGTTATATCAGTCCAATGCTCAAAAAGAAGGCTTCTTTCCTTGGTCTTACACTTAACATTTTCACTTACCAATAGGTTCATGAAAAAAGTCAAAACTAAAATAAAACTAGCTATAATAATCTAATACTATACATGTACAATGATGCTACATGCACTATCATGCTATATCTTACGTCACGGGGAAGGTGAGCTTAAGCCCTCAGTTTTCTATATTTTTGGTCTACCACTTCAAAAAAGAGAGCTTTTTAATATTAGTGAGTTTTTTGTTTATATGTTTATACAATATTTTCGCCAATTATGAATCAATTTTCATAATTTCTTTAAAGAAAAAATCGGTCAAGGCTGATCCTAAATATTATACAAAATTAAGTTTCAGAAACACATAATAAGTTTCTAAAAATTAAAATTTATTTCCACAGAGGAAGTAAAACAACAGACTTTGGGACCACAGTGCTCGTATGCAGTTCTTCCCATCACGAAAGAGACGCGTAATGGCTTCGATTACTATAATACAAGTGTAAGTTAAACAATGTCACATCTTATATGGTACTAAGTCTAATTAATATTATATATGTATATAATATGTACATATAAAAATAAACATGCGCATCTTTATTTCGTATATATATATATATACTCTTGTAGTCTAAGTATATTGACTCATGCCAAACTTATTGAATGACTTATTGAAGTGATAATCTTACCTAAAATAAAAGTAATAAAATGTTACACATCCTGCTTTTTGTAATCGATTTAAATTGAATGGTGTCCAAAAATATTTCTTTTTCTAACATACAGATTTAGCAATCCTTTAACCTTCTAAGTTTTTGAATTTTTACATTTTTTGCTTAATTATTACGCATACATAATAATGAAAATGCTAGTCTGGGCACTGACGAGTCAGTGAGGGAAAGTACTTTTCAAAATTTTAAATAAAACTATCTTTTCTGATTTTTTCGCAATTTTATTTTGATTTTTGGTTCCTGATGTTTCAAATGCTATAACATTAAAACAATCATGATCACGGAATAGACTAACGTCTTAGACGTCTCAAAGATTCAAAGATCATTATATAGTTGTTACAGACAGCATCTACCTACAAAATTATACAATGATTTTCAAAAATACGAACATGGCACCCAAGTATCTTACAATATTTGTTAATTTTAATATTAAACAATATTTATAATGTCAACAAGTCTTACAATAATATACAAAATAAATATTTCATATTATTTAATTAATTTTACTTCCTGTGATTATAATTATTACAATAAAAAAAATCCTAACCTTAGTTTTTATTTTAATTTAAAATGTCAAATATTCGCGTAAATCTAAGAACTTTTTTTCAAAAATAATACACTTTTGAAAAATTATATCTGATTATTATATATTATTATAAATTATGATTGAGCGAAGAATAAATATTGCCGTTATTTTCAGTTTGCAATGTATGTGGCATCGGACAAAGAGGAAGGCCTTTATAACTTATACTTCCACAATTGCCCAGGAGAGGCTGAGGCACGGACACCTATTAATGTTATGGTGAGTCAATTAATTTATTATCATTATAAATTAACTGTAAAGTGTAAGTTTTTGACGTAGTTACTTTTTTTTTTAATTTTTTGTAAAACATTGGTCAGCTTTATCTAATATTTATACTTAAAAAAATAAAATTGACACCTTCATTGGTGATTTCAAAATGGCTACTCCATAATAAGTTTGTATGGTTCACAGTCAAAAAAAAATGTCTGTCTGTTTATTTATGTATTTCAAGCGAAGCAAGAAAAAAGGAAAATAGAAAATATTCAAAAGTATTTATCATTTTAGATCGAAATATATGAGAGCAACGATGGCAACTTTCTGTCTGCTGGTGAAATGCCTCTACCAGCCCTGTATAGCATGATGTCACTTATATTCTTCCTAAGTGCAGGCTTTTGGACGTTTATTCTGAAGACAAGTAGACATAAAGTATACAGAATTCACATTGTAATGTGTGTACTTGTCTATTTGAAAGCCATGTCTCTGGCCTTCCATGGTATTAATTACCATTTCATACAAACAAGAGGTGAACATGTCACAGCTTGGGCTATACTCTATTACATAACGCACTTGTAAGTATTCTTTTTTAATATATATATATTTTATATTCCTATATAATATTAAGTTATGCAAATCATAATCAATGGTCAATACGTGGCAAAGAGGGATTTTAATATCGAAATTTTAACATAGTTTTCAAGTTAGTTTTCAAATTTTTGAAGTAAAACTTCTTTAGGCGTGACTGAGGGGTAAGTCAATACATTGGAAAAATTAGTGTCGTGGAAGTGAGAGTCGAATTTATTATTGATAAATTAAAAAAACATTATTATTTTCATATTTTGTTTTAAATTGTAATTTAATAGCCACGGCGCCAAAGAAGTTTTACTTCAACAGAGCGTGAAGTTTACACGCCCTCATTTTTTTTATCTGTTTATATGATTCTAAATGTGTTGAGGATGGCCGAGTGGATCTTAATTGATTTCTTTGTTGATGAAAGGTTCTTTTATCATATTCTTAAGATTATGAACCAACCTACATAAAGATGTAGAGTAAACAACTCTTGGTGGTTGGTTCATTTTATTTAAAAATACCAGAAGAACTGGGTAGCTCCACACGTTTCTTTATTGTTTTCAGTCGTTTTTAACGTAACCCACTGCTGGGCACGGGCCTCTATTCAGTACGAGGGCAATCACACCATAGTCCACCACGCTGGACAAGTGTATTATTTTAATATTATATTTTTTGTTACAGGTTAAAAGGCGCAGTATTATTTGTGACAATAGTCCTGGTCGGAACAGGTTGGAACTTTATAAAGCACATTCTCGCTGATCGCGACAAGAAAATCTTCATGATTGTAATACCCTTGCAAGTGAGTTCATCATTAATCATATATCATAGTATGCATATGATTTTATTCATCTGTACAGATAAGTAAAATGGAAGTGTCTAATTGTAATGTCAAAATATCAATTTTTTTATTCCGGCTAATCTTCGAAACGGATGGACCGATTTTGACGGGACTTTCGCTGGCAGATATGAGGTAGCTGATGTTATAAGGAGTAACTTAGGCTACTTTTATTTAAGAAAAAGAGTTAAGGTACCGGTATCTAATTATGAAATTTATTGTGACACTATAATTAGTGTGTCATATGTGTATATGGATATGCTTAATGGTTGTGTGAACACGTTGTGTTCAAGTGCCTCGCGTGGTTTGTAAAGGTTTTGAATAGGTTCGGCATTTTCTATACACCGCACCGCCTAGAAGATTAACTTAAAAATGAGCTACACGTGGACCAAGAAGTGTGAACAGCTCGGACACAATTTCCGTACATGTGTATACAGACAATACTCAGATAATTTCGTAAAAGTATTAACAGTACAGAAATTAATGTCTGTCATCTATATCGGAAATTGTGTCGCAGTCTAAACTTAGCTTAAGACACTTGCACTCTCTATTCCGGTAGGACGAGTGTTCGAGAACACCATTGAGAATTAACAGCAGGAGCGACACTATATCTCCTGCGTCGATACTTAGTTTCATTGGAATTAGTCGTCGTGACCGAAATTTAGGATATTTTTATCGTGATAACCTCTTATAAATCGATGAACGCCGGCTGCATGCACGAAAAAGTGTCACGTTCCGCCCGAGCCTAGCGCGGGAGCGAGGCACGGTCGGCCTAAGTTGATAATAGCACATTGTTACTTGTAATTATTATATCTGTATAATTTACATAAAAAAATATTTGAATTAACGAGTGCAGATAAATGTTAATGTATCGAAAAAATTGTAATATTCAATTAACTTCCTCTTTGTAATATACAAAATAATGATAATTCAGTGATAATATTTCATCATTGTTTTCTTATGACTTTATCACGAAAAATTATCGTCCGTAAACCGGCTTTACAGAAGACCAATTTTTATCCAAATATTTATATACAGGTGGTGGCAAATGTGGCAGAGATAATAATAGCGGAGAGTGAAGAGGGTGCTGCAGAACACAACGCTTGGCGTGTTCTCTTCATGTTCGTGGACATCTTGTGTTGTGGCGCCATCATGTTCCCTGTGGTCTGGTTAGTGAAAACTTTGATTTGTTTTTTAACTATTTCCTATGTAGATCAGAACTCATAGAGATTCATCTCACTCTGATCTTCGTGCGTTGTAGTTATTAAGGTTATTGGGATATTTTTTGAGAATTAAATATGAGGAAAGTTAGAAAGAGAGAAGAGAGAGAGTGAGAGAGAGAACAAGTAAGATATAGGGAGGTATACATGAGGTAAGAAGAACTCTAGAGATAGTGCGAGAGATAAATAAAAATTTAGAAGAAAAGAGTGTTACATCTTACATTATTGTTATGAAGATCAATAGTTAAGGAGTTTAGGGTGATCAAGAGTTAAGAGTTTTCTAAGCTTTTTTTTTTCATAAGTATTCAGTCTTGCAGCACTGGTGCTACTACATCTTATTTAATGTGAACTAATATTGAAAGAATGACTTATGTGTGTTATGTGGCAACACACAGCACTCCACGGGATACCGATATATGATATACTAGCAAAACCCGCGGCTTCGCCCGCGTTCAAAGTACAAAAAAACAACTCGCCTTTTCCCTCGCCTTTACAATAATGTATGGATGTCTGGCCGATTTGTTGACGTTTATGATTACTCCTCTGCTCCCTTGGGTAGTTGCATGATGATATATAGCCCCTAGCCTCCTCAATAAATGGGCTATCTAATACAAAAAGAATTTTTCAAATCGGATTAGTAGTGCCTGATATTAGCGCGTTCAAACAAACAAACAAACTCTGCTTCTTTTTAATATTAGTACAGATGTTCGGATATAATATAAGGATCAAACTAAACATAGAAGATATTTCGATCGTGTAAAAGTATTTATTTTTATGTTATTGTTTCATTTAGGTCTATACATCACCTGGAGGACTCGATGTCGACGGCGTCGGCCGACGGCAGGGCGGCTGTGAACTTGCGCAAGCTGAAGCTGTTCCGGCATTTCTATATGATGATACTCTGCTACATATATTTTACTAGGATCATTGTTACTATCTTAGAGGTAATAAGGACTTTTTGTTATTGAGCTTAAAAGGTTGCTGCAGATCATAGATTTTTTTTAAGTCACTACATAGTAGAAAACAAAGTAGCTTCCGGCTGTCTGTCTGTCCCTATGTATGCTTAGATCTTTAAAACTGCGCACCGGATTTTAGTGCGGTTTTCTTAATAGATAGAGTGATTCAAGAGGAAGGTTTATATGTATAATACATGCATATTATAGTTTAAAAAGCCGAGAAATTAAAAATTTGTATTTTATACTAACCGTTAAAATGTAGCTAATTGTATTTTGTATTCAATTTTCAAGGAAAGCAATATTAAATTTCCTATTTTTTTGCAACTTGCTTTTTTTCACACAGCTACTCTTACCTCTATTGAGCTTTGGATATCAAGAGATATTGAATTAGCAATAAAATATATGTTGACGAAAATCTCAAAAACTTCACAAGGAAAGCTTTCAAGTTCATTTTTCTTGGCCCATTGCCCAACAAGCTACTCGAACCTAGAGAGAAATGAGAACATTCAAAAATGCATGAGAGCAGATAGGAAAAGGCTCTATATAATTTGTTATTAAAATGTTTCTTTTGGTGAAAAATGTCATGGTTTTTTTTCTAGAAAAGTCGCTATATAAAATTTTATAATAAAATTGTTACTAAGCCGAATCTATACGTTAAATATTTTTTGAAAAATCTTATTGAAATAAACATTATTATCGATACAGAGACTGAATCTATAGTTCTTAGAATTTTTGTGTGCCTGTTTGTCTGTCTCTCTGTTACCGCATCACGAGAAAACCACTGGACAGATTTTAATGAAACTTGGTATGATGATAGCTGGTTATCCGGGTGAACATATAGGACTATTTTTAATGCGGGAAAATATCGCACATCTGAGAAATCTCTACTAAACGTTAAAAGTTAAAACGTAAGTAGAGACGAACCCGAGCGGAGCGAGGGTGAATCGCTAATTTAATATTATAAGTTTATAACATTCCTCATTTAAACTCGTAAACATATAACAAAAACCAAACGTCAACAGAACACAGTGCCGTTCCAATACTCTTGGATAGACGAGATGTTCCGCGAGATGGCCACGTTCGTGTTCTTCGTGACGACCGGGTACAAGTTCAGGCCGGCGGCCGCAAACCCCTACTTCACACCCACACATATGGAGGATGTCGAGCCTAAAGTGTAAGTGAAGTGTAATAAATCTATACTAATATTATAAAGAGGTAAAGTATGTGAGTTTGTGAATTGTGAGTTTGTGACGTTGTAGGAGGTAATCTCTGGATCTACTCAACCGATTTAGATGAAATTTGGTAAGAAGATAGTTTGAGACCCTGGGAAGGACATAGATTTACTTTTTATCTCGGAAATCCTTAAGTACGGAACCCTTAAGGACGTGAAAATGGGGATAAAAGTTTGTATTGGGAATCAAGCTATGAGCGAGGGTGAGTCGCTAGTAAATGAATATGTTGAGACAATAACACACAGTACCATCTATTTCCATGGTAAGCTACGAGGCTTCTGTTATGGATACCAGATAGTTGATACAATACACATATACTTATTTTTATTATTATGACTTCAAATGTATACATAATATAAATATAAACACCCAGTACCTGAGTACAAACTTTTGTGCTCATCACACAAATGAATGCCTCCAGCGGGGCTCGGACCCGCGTCCGCTGCACCTCAAGTACGCACATCAAGTAGGTCACTACAAACTGAGCCAAACGTGTCGTCTAATTGTGCATTATATATACATGTAGAATCGTCGAGTGATATATTTAAGACTTAAATTTTAAGTGATCCGATATATATGTATATGGGGCGTTCCACGCCAAATCGGACGGTTTCAAAAAAATATTTTTGTTTTTCTTAATATTTTGGTATTTTATAGTACCCCTCAAAAGAGGCCTCCTGGTGAATTTGAGATTTTTTGATCACTGGTTTAAAACCGCTCTTTTTTTTGGTTTTTTGCTCATAACTTAGTTAACAATTGTCGATATTCAATTTTTTTTATTCAAAATTTTAGTTTTTGGATGACCTCTACAAAATATAAAAAAATATTTGAAATGTTATTAATCTTATGTATAATGTTTTTAGTTTTCAATCGCGTTTTTAAAACTGTGTATCCTTCGATTGATCCTTGAAAATTTTCTATTTTAAACTTCTTATCCATCATGCACCTTTTAAGCCCGGTCTGGTAGTGGGCCTTCCATAATTACTGTTTTTTTTTAATAAATGTAAAAAAATAATAATTAAAAATGAAAAAAAAGATACATATCTTCTACGCTCGGGCGCAACCGTTTATAGGGTTCCATAGCCAAAAGGCTAAAAGGGTACTGCCCTTATAGTCTCACCATGTCCTTCTGACAGTATATCACAGTAGTTTTACTTGAAGACTTTTATTGAAAACACATTGTTAAAATTTGTTAGGTTAATAATCATCATGCAATTTCTATTTGTGTGCAATAGTGTTTATTACATTATTATATATCTATTGAAATTTTATGAACCTATTGTCAATCCATTTTTTAAGTCATGCTAGTGCAATAAATGAATGTGAAAATGTATTTATTTTATTTTCAGTCTATCCGAAATCGGAGTACTGGAAGGAGTTACTAATAGAGAGAAAAAGCGAGATGATATGCAACCCCTCATGCAAGATAATTCCGACTAAAATTTGTTAAAAAAATTTTCTTATTCTACTAATTCTTTTAAATACATTAACGGTTTTATGAACGAGATTCCTTGCAACTTGCGGTAGGGGTTGACAAGTAGAAATAGCCACGTCACGAAAAAGGTTTTATGCTTTATTATTTACTGTGAGCATCTCATGTGACGTTATCACAAGTACCAGGCGAGCATAAGTGTTAAGGAGGTCGTATGCACTCTTTGAAATAAACCTACATAATATGTATATAATAATGAGCATTCCTTGAGGTTTGTGGTCCCCTAGTGCTCGAGACAAACGTACCAGGCGATCATAAGTGTTGAGGAGTGTACGTTTTAATAAATGCGTGTGCACCCTGTGCAGGCCTTTCTTTGATAAGCTTCACCATGTGCAATGTGCGTTGCTCGATGTCTATGCTACCCTGGTACTCGGGACAATGTGTAACGCACTGTCCGCATTGCGATATTTCACCGCACGTTTTTTTCTTGCAAATTTGTAAAACATTAAATCTTACAGGAGTATCCGAGTATCCACTTGCGATTAAAAATTCACGCAGAAAAAAAATCTGTGATTTGATGCAAATTGAACGCGATGCGGTGCGGATTTCTCAAAGCCGTAAATGGGTGAAGAATCCAATGTTCATGACATCTTTTGATAGCTCAAAATTAAAAAATCTTTCTCTATCTCTCAATTTTTTTTCTGTTATTCATTTTAAGACGTTCATCTCAGCTGGGAGCTACATCGAACTGACAAAAATCGTACGAAATTTTAATCGCAGTGCGTAATAAGTATAATTCTGATCACGGAATATTATAATACGTGAGCATAAAACTCGCACGTTGAAATATCGCAGTACGGACAGGGCCTAAGAGCTAATGTATGAGCCAATGGCGGACAAGAGATCAATAGGAACTTCATACCTACCGAGTGTCCCACGACACTAACCGATTTTTATTATTACTTAAATTTAGATTAATATTCATAATAGAGCAATAATTATTCCATTTATACTGTTTAAATGTTTTTTAATGAAATCTATTTTAAAATTGTTGTGCGTTTAATATTTTGCTTAGTACAAAATATTTATTTGCTTGGTACTATTTCAAGTTAATTTAGGCCGGACATTTGATAAAATGGCGTTTAATATGTAAATGTATTCAATTTAAGATGGCTTATTCGACGACCTCTTCGCAATAAATAATTTTTGAATTTTATTTATTTTTACTTATTAATGATAGTTTTTTGTCTTCACTCGATCATGTCGTTTCACTATTTCTTTACCATCTATCTATACATTACCATTTTTATTACCTAGTTCGATAGTAGATTAAAAAAAATCTTTGTTTTTATTTACAAAACTTATTCATTACAAAGTGGCCGTCAAGTATAGCGATGACTGAACTAAAATGCCAAGTCAGTACTTAAATTGACAATGAGACGAATGGTCCAAGGTTTTATATATATTTTAGAGAGAACTAAGCTCATTTATGTGTACAAAATAAATTTCATATAAAAAAAAGAAAAAAGTTGAATTTTATTATATCGATATCATTATATTTTTCATGTGAAATCTATTTTGTATAAGTCCTAAGTAAGTAGATATTGTTTAAGATATAACATGTTCATTTTATCTGGTTGTGTAAGCATCGTAGAGCAAGCTTTAGTTTCGTTTATTTTATTACTAGCATTGCCCGCGGCTCCGCCCGCGTTCAGATGACCAAAAACTAAATTCTTAGGTGTTACATATTAGTATACTCTTACATTGCAGTTTTTGTATTTTTCCTCAGAAATAAGATATTTTCCCGCGGTAAAAAGTATCCTAGGATCGCGCGCTACATCGCCCGGTTTATATAGCTTGAGCAGGCGGTCGAGCGATGCGGGGCAGAGGGGATGGACTCGCCGTAGGCATCTCAATGCTCGCCAAGCATTAAAAATGTTTCGCTACTAATTACTTCTAACAACGATATCTCAAAAACTATTCATCTGATTGATTTAGTGTAAAGAGCAATTTTAATCTGCATTAAATGACTAAGCTAACTAAAATATTCATTTGGATAAGGATTAATACCGAACTAAAGAAAATAACTTTGAAAATAACGTAATGTTTTTAATTAAAAATGTTAACATAAAAGTGGTTATTGTAAGTCAACCGTAAGAGATAGAGATATGCTATCGCGGACTTTTTTGTAGCATTTTTATAGATTTTGAATTCTCTAGTACATTACTTAACTGTATCTTTGCTAGTTTACGCGGCGTTCGCGTGGAAAGTTCCCATTTGGCGAGATTTTTTGCGACCTCTTCAACATTTGTCGCCGTATTTCAGCTAATTTACATAAAAGCATAATAAATTATATACCTAAACCTTCCTCAAGAATTACTCTTTCTATTGTTGAAAACCGTATAAAAATCCGTTCAGTAGTTTTCGAGTTTATCGCGTACAGACAGACAGGAGGACAGACAGGACAGAAAGACGCGGCCGGGGGACTTATTTTTATAATAAGTATAGATAAACAGTTCGTAAATATATCTTAAAGTTATGTTTTAAAAAGAATAATCTAACGGTTTTGTTTGTTTAATCATGATCAACAATAACGAGTAAGCTCTGTGGGTTCGGTATAACAATCGCTTTTGATATAGAGTGATATCTTCATATTTTGAACTTGCGATTTATCCAAGCTTCGCTCGGGTGCGACCAGGTACGCGGATTTTGTTCACAATTTCATGGATTTTAATTTTTTACGAGGATTCTTTTTTTTAAATAAAAATTTACTTAGTTACTCCTTAAAAGTTTCGGAGATTAGATCAAACAGAGAGATAGACGGACAAAAGTTTTAAAAATGGTTTTTTCTTATTAGCACCGTATATACTTTCGTATTCATTTAGTAAAAAGCTGTTACATTACAGACAGATACTTCAATTTTAATTATCTGTATAGATTAATAACGATGATATAATCTCGAAATATAAAATACATAGGAAATATAGATCCACTTAGACTGCAATTTCAAACGAGTAAAAGTTTACTTAATTATAATATTTTTTAATTTATTAGTAATATTTTGTTTGTAAATTAAAACGTTAGTATGTAAAAAGAGATAATAATTATATCTGTTAAATATTGATTATAGCTCTTAACATAATATACTAATATTTCGACACTGGCTTTACATTCCACGTGAGACTATTTTTTTTGTTTTAAATAAAACTATATGTTTGGATTTTCTCGCGAATTTATTTTAATTTTTGGTTTCCGACGTTTCGAATGGTTTACCGCAATCATTTTCACGGGAGAGAATGGGAAACGTCGGAAACCAAAAACCGAAATAAATCCGGAATATCCGGAAAGATAGTTTTGTTTAAAATATCAAATATTCGCGTAAATCTAAGAAAATATTTTTTGTTGCTTAATAGTATTGTAGCAAGTTAATAGTAACAATATGTAATGTTCCCATCGTTAAGTAATATATTATATCAATTAGTCGTCTTGCGTTTGTTTGTAAATAAAGTTTTTACCATTTTTAATAAATAAGCAATTCTTGTTTGGAATTTATTTTCATTGAACATATTATATAGTTTTATTTATAACTTCCTTATATTGTCAAAATGCATTGTAACTTTTTAATTAAGTAAATGTTTAACTTAAGAAAATATAAGTGAGTTAAATTCTTATGTAATAATAAAATGAACAATGTAAAAAATAAGGCAAATATTAACATTAGTAAATTATTCAAATTTCTCGTTCCATATGTTTGTTCGTTTAAGAAATCTCAAGATTTATCGATGGACTGATCATACACTGTTTATTAAAAGAAGATTCATATTGAAAGAGAAATAATGTACTTTAAGTGTAAAAACTTTTCAAAAAGTATAAGTAAATAGAAATATCTGTAGTTATCATAATATTTTAATAGAAATGAATGTCTATATAATAATACATATAATATCTACTTCGACGCTTGGACTATATAAAATATTTGCATTGCTTAATATGATATGTAATACAATTTATTTTTTTAAATATTATTAAAAAAAAATTATCGCTTCAAAATATTTTAAATTAGTTTCTCTATTTTCATTCAGTTCGTGTTGTTTTGTATACCATTAATAATACCTATATACGTTTACTAGCACATGTAAATGCAAGTGATTCATCGGTTAATATATGTGGGTTGTAATCGCTACCTAACCTATTTCAACGCAATCGTTACATTTATTGCGTACATATCTTTTATTTTATACTATGCATATTTAAAGTATTTGTTTATTAAGAATTTAAATTGTTTTGAACTGTAATAACGTTAAAATGACAGATACCGTAATATTATTTCTCTCGACGGTCCCTAAGTAGATATAGGAAACACTAGGAACTCGCGCTCAGTTCGCTCCCCGTTCGTTCTTAGTGAAAAATAAAAACAAATTATCCCACGCGAACCGTATAGTTTTCCGAGATAAAAAGTAACCTAGGTGCTATTCCAGACTATAATCTAACTCTGTGCCAAATTTCATCCAGATCAGTTCAGTCGTTCTGACGTGATTGAGTAACAAACATCCATCCATCCAAACGTTTGCATTTATAATATTTATATAATTTTACAAGAAAACGTTCAATAATACCTTACACTCGAATTAACTATGAAAATATGTATAATAATAAATCTATGATTGATATTCACTGTAGTTGTAATACTGTTAGTATTCAGATTCTTGAAAGTAATAAAACAATACTGCATAATAACTTATCTGATATCTACCAAGTATAAAGGCCTATTCACATTGATGATTTTGTAACATACTGTAGACGCGCATTTTTCGTATGTTTGTGTCAACACGAAGGTAAGCAATTTGAGTTTTTGAAGTAAAACTTTTTTATGCACGCTTGACTTGGGGGGGGGGTGGGGGTTGGGGGGTAAGCTAGTATTAACTAAAATGTACGTACGTTTGTTGCTATCGTAACCGTTGTTATTGTCTGACAAATGATGTATAATATTATATTCTTTCCTTAA